TTTCCTTTTTGGATGGGGTAAAACACTACATAGACCGCGACATGTGGCCCCTCCCTGAGCAAAATTCTGGCTACGTGCCTGAGCTAGGTACTCAAAGCGGGGCATCTGGGAGCTACTATCGTACAATTGCTCGATACGAAAAGAGTAGGCTCCTGAATCGCAAATTAGCTTGATAGGTATGCCCCGAGCACCATTCTTAGCAGGGATGCGGAGCCGTGGAAATTTCAGACAGCTTTTGCTCCGGCTCCGGCTTCGGAGAAATAAAATCGGCTCCGGGTCCGGCTCTGGCTCCGGGTGAAATGTCATGGCGGCTCCGTCTCCGGCTCCGGCTCCGGGCAAAAATGTGCCGGCTCCGGCTCCGCACCCCTGATTCTTAGTAGAAGCACTGCAACACAGGTGGCTTAGCCCTCGCCTGTAAAGGGGGAAGGGTCGAACGGACCCCTTCCTCGGTTTTTCGCGAATACCTAACTCGCGTAAAAAGCGGCCGGTCGCGACGAAACGTTCAGTAACCTCGCGTTAATCAATTTTACACCTATCTTAAAATTTCATGACCCTGACCCAAATGACCTTTGGCATGTGACCTACTTTTCGAGACCATATTGGCCGGAATCGTGATTCGGCGTATATGTCGGCTCGCATTAGCCGCGCGTTTGCAGTCTTTTCGTGGTTTCAAGCGTTCAAACATGTGATATGATGTTGGTACCATGCATTAGGGTGGGTATCAAGATCACCTGAAGGTCAGGTCAGGTCATTGACCTTTGATGACCTCGGTCCACTTTTTCGAGTTTTACATGTTTCTAGACTAGTTATTGGAACTAAATTCGAATTTAGCAACCATATGAACATTTACGAAGTAGGTAGTTTTGGTGCCTTCGTAACATTTTACGAAGCTATCAGAGGTGGTTGACACCTACTACAAATGCTCGGCAGGATCTCTACTGGTTGACCTGACCTGACCTGACCCGACCTGGCCTAAATGCATGAAGACATCATCTGTGATCAAAACTAACATGATATTCGTGATAAGCACCCCGAAAAAACCATAGCAGTTACCCCTTACGACGTTCTAATGGGTCCTCATTTTCCCAACTTTTGCGTCATTGACCTGACCTGGAAGGTCAACCAATGACCTAGGACCTTAAAATTGGGTATCATCGGCTTCCTCTCGTTACGAGCAACACGCTCGTTTTTCCGCGAAGCTCTACACTGTAAACTCATTTCAACAAACGTTTGTTACTTTTACAAGGAAAATTATTTAGCGCAAATCCCCGCACCCTTTGCCATGTCATCGAACGACCCTATTGTTTGTCATGGTAGTTTTTCTTACAACCCACTCACTTGTAGTTCGTTAGACTAGCTACCAAAGTTTGCTTTGTCATTGTTGTGTGAACGACTGTTTTCCTAGTTATAATCATGCGGCTACCAGGTAAAGACCTGCGCATGTTTGCATTTAACAGGGCTGAGCCGTGTACTTGTTAAGTCAAATCAATGCAAATCTTAGTTAGCATAGTAATGTCTACGTGCAGCAAACCTGTACTTGTAAGCAATCTACTAGTCTCAGGTTTGTAACGTTTTACAAAGACCTCTCTTGTATTCGTCAGTTTTCTCCACAAATCGCAGGTCGCCGCTCTGCAGTCTCATTATTACAGCAAAACAGCATTACTGAAAGTAGGTCATGTATTTAAAATGGTACATACACATTACACCCACAATGGTGATAACACTCATGACCCAAGGGGCAAGGGCAATAACGCATGCGAAAAAGCAATGAGCGTCATCACTTACCGAGTACACTGCACCCATTCAAATCTACGGGGCATTCAAATTCATCAGCCCCTTGGAATTCAGGTGCTTTTTCATTTTTAGAGTTCTTTCAGTTGCTGCAGTTTGCTGTCTTCAGTGTAGCGACCCTTGCTTGCAAGCTGGAGCTTTCGCTCCTGATGAAAGCCTGAAAGAAAGCATCGCTATATTATAGCATATGCAGAACAATATGGCCTGGGGCAGAACACATTGTGCTTGCAATTCCATACATCACGCACTTATTTAGCAAATTTCTCTGATTCAATCTGCATTACTATCAGTTGAAAGACATACATTTCATTAAAAAATGGCAAAAACGACCGAACACTGTTATCACCTACCATTTTCACGGAAGTGCGCAGGAGGCCACATCACTGCACGGCGGTTGGCGCGCAACTGAAACTTTCAAAATTCAAAATGAAACGGCCGGAAACGTTTTTGGCGCCACCTATATAACAAGTAACAGCTTTGTATATGTTACTACTAACACGTCTAACTAGCGTAACTAAGTCCGTGTTGCAAAGGTGTAGCTGATACCTTTGACAAGGACATAGATTACATAAGTATGTGTCAGTATTGTTGCAATGGTGTAGCTGGTTCCTTCGACAAGGATATAAATTACAAATCATAAGCAAATCTATGTTCCATATTACGAATAAGACCCTGGTAGTTTTCACAATAGCCTCCATAATCCTCGTCAATTTTATGAATGGTCGACTGGGTGCTGGGGCTGATACTAACATTTGCCCTGTTGATTCAACCAACTATGACAAGATATTCGTCGTTCGACATAACCTTTTTTAGTATTTTTGACAAACGCTCGTCTTGTACGACAACCCCTTGTCAAAATGAGTTTACAGTGTAGCTTTATCAGGGGCCAAACGGCAAGGGGGGTCCAACAGAGAGACCCCCCCCCCTTATAGTTCGCGGCTGGAAAAACACCAATACGGGCGAGGGTTAAAATGGATTTGGCAGGGAAGCTTTGAGATGTGCAAGACGCATGTACTACCTAGGACAGATGATGACCTCTGCGTTAAATAAATGCTTCACCTCCATTTCATGCCCATACATGTTATTTTCCTTCGATTTTTTTTTTGTGCTGGAATTGATGGCGCAGGCACTGTGAAGTCACTTTCAAGCAGAAATGTATTGGATAGTCTGCGCTTTCTGCTGATTCATAATGAAATGACTACATTTGGGCTTCAATCCTTACAGCTCGGACGAAACAAGAATTATTGGACGATTTCACGCGTCAGAGAAAAGGCAAGACCGAAGAACTCAGCAGTTGAATAACGGTACCGCTATTTGACGTGAAAGCCGACAGCGGACAAACACACCTCACAGACGAAATAGGCAAATAGAAACCGACGTGCATGCACGATTCCAGATTCAGAAATGTTCTGGGAAACTGAAACGGGTTTTCAGCAGGAGGCAGACGGCGTGGAGACTTGTCGAGTTGAAGTGCTGAATATCCGAAAGGCTGCTCAGATTAATGGCTTCGGAATTTCCGAGCCACCCATTTCGGCTTGGACTAGCAAGCTGAACTCGAGAAACTGGAAGGACTTGTTTTTAGTTTGCAGCTCTTAATAGGCATCGCTATGCAGAATAAGTTAATTCCGTGATTCGTGAATACATTATAAAAACTAACACTCGTCTCGGGAAGCCGTTCCTTCACTTTTCTTTTTTTTGTAAAAAGAAGCTCAAAAGCCTTCCTGAAATTATGCTGCCGCAAGCCTGAATATAGACTGCACCGTATAACTACACACACCTCAAGGTGAACCGCACCACACTATACGAGTATACCTACCTACGCCTGAAGGCAGACTCTACCGCACTATATACGCCTAAATATAACACTACACATTTACGCCTAAAAGTAGTCTGTACCGCACTACATGCGACCAAAGGTAGAATGCCGCACTATGCAGCCCTGAAGGTAGACTGTACCGCATTATATATGTACTACCTGTTTGGTGTTGGAATTACGCCCAAAGAAACATGGTGACTTCCCGGGCTGAGCCGAACTTACGCCGGGTGTGCCGGCTGAGGTCGGTCTCGGACTCCAATCAGTGAACACTCATCGGCCGCCGTGTGCTTGTTCCATCGTCCACTCGGTTATATGAGGGAAATGGCTAGGATTGGGTCCCATGAGCTGTTCCATGCCCTCTGCGGCCGTCAGTGCACGCGATTAATTATTTTGAATTTTGATCATTGCTGATCTGTTTTTCTGAATGCTGAAAAATGCATAGACGGTTTTGGTCAATCATGAATTCCCGGCTTTCAATGACGAGTTTCGACCATTGACGATTTGATTTGCACAATGTTGAACCATTCGCTCAATGTCGAGTTGTAGAGGATCGCCGAATAGTTTCGCACAATGATAATTCTTTGTGACCAACCGCCCATTTGTAGTGCCATTTATATGGCGAATGTGTACAGTGTATGTACAAATGTTTTGCCCAATGCATTGGGCGCAATGGTCAAAAGCTAACGCAAAAAGGTGCATACTGTAGCACACATCACGCGCCTGAAGGTAGACTGTACCGCATTACACACGCCTGAAGAAAGACTGTACCGTACTATACATATGCGTCTGAAGGCAGACTGTACCGTATGTACATACTACACATGTCCGTGGCGTGTACCGTGTACACATGTCCAAAGGTAGACTAGCGCATCACACATGCTCTAAGGCAGATTGTATCGCATTACTTGCGCCCGCCTGAAGGTAGACTGCACCGCACTTCCTACGCCTGAGGGTAGACTGTACAGCATAATGTGCACTTGAAGGTAGACTGTACCGCATTACACACGCCTGAAGGTAGACTGTACCGCACTGTACGCGCCTGAAGATAGACTGCACCGCATTGCACGCGCCTGAAGATAGACTGTGCCGCACGGCACACGCCTCAAAATAGACTGTAGGTAGATATAGACTGTAGGTAGGGCTGCATACGCCTGAAGGTAGACTACCGTATTTCATTCGCCTAAAGACATGATCAAAATGATCAGCGCTGACAGCCAAGATTGAGCTGGATATTTTGTCGTCACTATCTGCTTGCTGGGGGGGGGGGGGGTGATTTGAGGGCGTTAAACACACACAGCCTGTAACTTCTGAGTTCTGGGAAGCCGTCTTATTCTCAGTATTTTGGAGCCCAGGTAATTGAAATCCCTCAGCTGAGATTTGTAGCAAAAACATAGATGATTTCACCTTTATTGCGAACTTAGTCTGAGACTCGCCAAACAAAAGGTGTTGAGGTTGAACAATTCTGAGTTTCCAAGCAAAAAAAAACTTGCAACAGGCGACAGCATTTCTGAATGAACTCTCGCCATTGCAAACATAGCATGGCACCGAATCACCGCTGGATGTCACAGCTATTCGACTAGCCAGACAATAGCTTGTGCTTATCATTCAATTCTGTGGCGACTGAGGGCAATTTCTGGTGATAGATGACGCGATAATTCACATTTGAGGAGCAAAAGCTCGATTTCACGGCATTGTCGCACCGAATTGTGCCTGTCACCTTCGATATCGATGTCATCCATTTGCCAAGCTTTAAAATTCCATACAAATTCACGTAAAGAACTACTCCACCGGGGTACCGTGTCTTTCATAGTGTCAATCAAATAACCAATCGGAAAACTATTTTAGGGCTAGAGTATTTCTCGCAATACCGCGCACCAATGCAGACCGCTGATCTACGGGCAGCTCTTGAATGAGACATCACTCGATCAGCCCACCGGCCATAACCAAATACATCTTTCACAGGCGAATCCAGCCGGGCCGATGAGATACGCCCCGGCCAAACATTGAGCGCGCCGCCCGGGCTCATCGCCGGCAGAGTATCGATAACATCCGCGGGCTCAGCCACTCGGTTTATTTACCGTTATCACATCCTTACATTAATCAGCACGTAACAGCGTGGCTCCGGCCCCCAGGGCGTCGGGGGCCTCAAATACGAACATTATACGTCCCAGCAGTCTCTCAATCATTTAAACAGAGGTGGTCTTGCCGTCAGCTCTGCGCGGCATGCTCGCTAGGCGCGTGAGCGATCGAAGTTGAGATCCTCTGGAGGGCTTCCTCCTTGCCGAGAACGGCGATCATTTCTGCGACGCCGGGGCCCTCCTGAAATAAGGTTCACAGGGTTCAGAACAAAACGGACTCCGCTACAATCGTTAGTTACATACCGTAGCAAACTACAATTGATGATACAAACAGACAAGCCAGCCATGTAAAAATATTCATGGCCGTCAATATAGTTCAATATAGTTCAACATTGACAAATTTTCGGACTAAACAGTAAATTTAGACCTCTACGCGCACAAACAGAGCACATGTTACGAATAAGCATACGTTCGAAAGCCAGTGAAATGTGTGGCAAGGCCAAACTCAATTATTGACATGTAATCATCGGAAGCAAGGTGCCGCTAAATTAACAAACGGCCACCGCGTGACTGCACTGAGTTAAGATCGGGTCAGGGCGCGCCCAGGTCCGACCCATGACCGCCCCACCCTATCACGGAGACTGACCACGTGCCACCGATCCATTCATGTTAGCGACGTGGCGGGGCGGGCGAGCCTCCATTCCTAGATGGCCCCTGCAGACGTGATTTCCAGCACCCCCTCCCTGACATTTAACCACGTCACTTGGACGCGTGCGACTCGTACAGAGTGACTGTGAGGTTTGGTGAGTTGTGTCCTATCTGGTTTGCAACTCACCAGACTTTACTCTCACTCACTCACTCACTCACCAAAAACTCACTCACTCACTCACCAAAAACTCACTCACCCACTATTTACTCACTCACTCACTCACTCACTCACTCACTAACTCACACTCACTCACACTCACTCACTCACCCACCCACCCACCCACTCACTCACTCACTCACTCACTCACTCACTCACTCACTCACTCACTCACTCACTCACTCACTCACTCACTCACTCACTCTTACCTCCACTCCGCTGAGTGCCAATCGAAGCAGCTTCATCAGCGCGCTGAACTTGATCCTTCTCTCGCCGGCCACGGCGCGGAACAGGGGCACCAGCTCGTCCTTGGTGAGAGAGTCCTCCGGTCGGCCGGATAACCGATCGAGCAGAACAGAGAGCGTGCCCGCTGTGGGTGGGACAGAGCACTGTTATTATATAGGTGGGGGTTTGACGAACGGCATTTGTGGCGGGTGCAGATAACATCCAGGATATACATTTAATGACATGACCTAGAAAATGACCCAGTTATAACTAGGAGAAACATATTCGACATTTGTGGCAAAGTCTTCCTCCCCTCCACCTGGTACGGGAAAAATCGTAATCCAACCCCGTTGGAGTTCCACTGTAGGCAGCTGATTGGCAGTTTGGCACTCACCCTCTGTGTCTCCACCCCTCTCCAGGGTAGCATAAGTCACATTTCCCTCTCCCTTTACCTAGCTCCTTCATGGGAGCATTTGGCCGTCCCCAAACCTTCCTGTCCTCACCCTTTTTAAGGAAGCGGAAGTCACAGCCACCTTCCCGCTCACCTGGGTCCTCCACGGGCAGTTGGTCGTCCCTCAGTCGCTCCGGCACCGCCCACAGGTAGCTGAAGTCCCGTGACACAAGATCCGACAGGTACTCGATCCGTGCGTTGTCGAGCGACCACCTCAGCACACGGTCTATGTAGGCGTCGGAGAGCACGTGAGGCGCTAGCGGTGGTCCGCTGCTGTGCAGAGAGAGAGGGAGAGAGAGAGAGAGAGAGAGAGAGAGAGAGAGAGAGAGAGAGAGAGAGAGAGAGAGAGAGAGAGTGAGAGTGAGAGTGAGAGTGAGAGTGAGAGTGAGAGTGAGAGTGAGAGTGAGAGTGAGAGAGAGGAGAGAGGAGAGAGAGAGAGAGAGAGAGAGAGAGAGAGAGAGAGAGAGAGAGAGAGAGAGAGAGAGAGAGAGAGAGAGAGAGAGAGAGAGAGAGAGAGAGAGAGAGAGAGAGTCACAACTCACACACACATCAGTGAGTCGATATGAGGCTTTCCTCCAGGCTAAAGCCCCGAGGGCATGGCCGATTGAAGGTGAAGATAACATGTTTGTACGTCAGATGATATGGAAGTGGTATTGGAAACCACCTCAGGGCCCGTGCTGTTGACAGAAACTGATTGTGATTTGAACGGCAGCTCGTAGTACGGCATAGGGGATGTCGTCATCGTAGTGAAAGCTGAGCGTTTCAGTAGCAACAAATGTTTTGGAGTGATGACAGTGTTATAGGTTCGATATTGCTTCGTACTGACGGTAAATTTGTTAGAAATTATCATTCACACATGTTCCACTTTCTATTTCAACATCATCGTTTTTCCACTAGCTGTCACAGCAGCTGTTTGTTCGTTTTTACAGGCGCTCGTGTTTATCCGCGGGCTAATCCTCATTAAAGTCCTTCATTAGACAGATTATCTACAACATTATCCCCCACAGACAAAGTTTCCGCCCCGGAACCTGATCAACCTCTGCGTGGCCCGCGGACATTGATGCACCAGGTAAGACGGTACACGTTAGCACTTTACACATATGTACATTCATACATGAGCAATGAACACTTCAAACCATAGGCATTACCTATGAACACAAAATGTACACGCCACTTCTGTCATACATCACCACTTAAAACAGGATGGAGATTACGTTTCACATAACAATACCATATCCACTTCAAGCCGAATCATCTCATATGAGCTGACTAGTGATACCTAATGGGGTGTCTGACAGTTCGACCCGCTCTCGTGATTATCGACTTTGGCACATTTGGAGTCGCCTGAGTGACCAGGTCCTGTTGCACAGAGGACTTGTCTTGCCGCGGCGTTCTGTCGCCATGTGGCCTTACGTGTTTGTCAGCTGGTCCTTAGTAGCCTTGTCTGAAACGGTGGGGTAGGCGAACTGTACGAGATCCTCAATAGCGAGCATTTCCTTCATAAGCCACCGAATCTAGGCGGTGGATGGCCACCATGGGATTTGGTATCCCTCCCAGTAGCTTCACCACTTCGGCGGAGATCGAGTCGAGTGTGGCTGCCGGGCACGCTGCACACACGTGTCGGACACATTCCTTTACATTACCAGAAACAAAGAAACGCAAGTTTGTCACAAGTTCGTCGGTATTCCACATCTTCATCTGACCAAACAAACAGTAGTCCTCCAGCCATGATATCCAATCTTGTGCACTGCCGTTCTCAAACTTCTCCAGAACCAAATGGTCCGACACTAGGGTGACCCGCGTGCTCCGCAACGCGAAAAGGGGTATTTTCGATTGACGGATGTTTGGTTGTTCTTGTGTCGGTTTGGTTATCTATCCATTTCGGTCGATTGCTTTTTGATGGCTAAATGTTTGGAAAGAATATCCATCGCATCGAGGTGCCCGTGTCTGATAAGCATGCTTTCTACTTCAGAAACTGTCAAATGTGTGTTATAATTTAGGTGCGTAGTTCTATGACAAATGAAAGCCGTAGATAATTTTCGCTAAAAATGGTTTTGCAGAGGCTTGAAACATTTATATTTTTAAGAGTACTGTTGCTTGTCATGCAAACACGATGATTGAATCTTGAAGAGAATTGAATGCTCTTTCTAATGATAGCATTTTCAATTGCCAAACTTATCAGGTTAAGCAGCAAATCCCGTGTAATTATTAAGTGGCAAATTATGGACAAATACCATTTTCTCCAGCGATTTTTCCCACATTGTTTTTGATCAATTAGCTTTTCACAATTTTTCCATGAGAGACGGTACATTTTTATTGCTAATAGGCGCTGTTTCAACTCATTCCGTCTGACGATCACCTGAAATTAATATAAATTCCAAAATCCGTTTAAAATGGCACTTTTTGAAATGAAATTGCCCTCACACTTGCACGTGGCGCGTGCCACCCCTGCACCGCACACTATTCGATTGCCCGTTCGATTCTCTACACGATGCTGTTTTCCCCGTGCCGATCGGGCGCACGGCTACCGAGATATTGCACGGGGAACGGACCCGTGTCGGGCAAATTTAGCCATTTTCGCCCGTTTTTGCCAGCCGATTTATACATGTAAAGTCTATGACGCGAATTTGCACTTTTTGGGCACGCGCCACGCGCTCGCTATCGATCCGATCGAGCCGAGACCGCTCAAAGGCACGTTGTCCATCCTTGTTCTATAACTTGCGCAAATTTCAGCGCGGTAGGTGCAACGGTGTGATCTGTAACCCGCGCTACGTAGCACCATGTCGCGACCTTCGTAATAGACAGAAACTACGCCCTCCTCAAATAGTAATATAGATTTTTAACACCGCTGCCACCACTGTTATAGGTTCGATATTGCTTCGTACTGACGGTAAATTTGTTAGAAATTATCATTCACACATGTTCCACTTTCTATTTCAACATCATCGTTTTTCCACTAGCTGTCACAGCCCCCTAATTCAATATACCCTGGTCACAGCAGCTGTTTGTTCGTTTTTACAGGCGCTCGTGTTCATCCGCGGGCTAATCCTCATTAAAGTCCTTCATTAGACAGATTATCTACAACAACAGCAACATTCGTTTTTAAGTAAAGAAAAAAAAGATGGTGCCAGTCAGCATTCATTCCCATGTGAGTTTCATACTTGCATCAAATCGACATATTACAGCATTGTAGATTCTAGAGCGACAAAAGGGCTTTTGTGCCCATGCAAATCAGGTGCATTATTTTCCAGCATATTTTTAAAATCCTTGCTCAACGCCGATCAGTAATTAAAGAATCAAACCAGCCCATTCAGAGCCAAATTTAGCCGGCCGTCTCCTATGTCCTACTGAAGTCCCTGTCGCGTCGGTTGTCGGGCTTTGTTGGGACACAGGCCGCCGTAAAACCGTCGTCGCTCGCTCCACACCCAGTTCATTAGCCGCTGGCGCATTGTTGGACAGGGAGAGCCTTTTATCATGTGGGGAGAGGGGCTTACCTTCAGCCACCGAGAAAATGACCGTGAAATTTCATCAGCAGCCCCGAAATGTGCCTAGCAACACTGGTAGGGACCACAAGAGTGGCATCCATTTTTACGACATTCGTCGAAAAAAAAACAAAGGCAGAATTCAAACAAACCTACAAGAGCTCAACCTAAGAGGAAATCGAATAACTCGTCATCCAAATTCACCAGATATTGCCAGTAACCATACCAGTAACTAAGCCACCCACCAAGGATAATGCAGAGGGCAGATTGGGTGGGGACGATATGATGATCGGTAGACTGGGCAGGTTGCTATGGCAGCAACCTGACTCGGAAGAAGCCTCAGAGCGCTCCTCTGACACTGATCCGCGGCTACTGTGGACGTCAAACCACGTGGGACGCGACTTTTTCGCAATAACTTTTGAATACGTTGCCTCTCAAGAACGAAACTTCGGCAATGGACGTTTCAGACCCCGGCCTAATTTTTATTACTAAGGTTTTTCAATGTCCGATCAATATTTAGGGCACTTCCCGTTCACTCGTAATGCTAAGTGAAATATCAGCCCGGATGGCGGCTATCGTCAGGCTGCTCGCGAAGCCCCGCCTACTAACTACGAATTCCCTGCCATCTACCGTTCAGACACGACCGCCATCTGTCGGTCGATCCTCACTCAGAACCGGTTCTGCATGCTGTGTGCGTCGGGTCTCAGATGGGCGGACATCTCGAAACCGAGATTGTTCAGTATGGCCTTTTACCAGGTTTTTTAATCCGAGAAAAAACCGAGATTGTTCAGTATTTACCAAATTAACTATACGAATTACTGACTTAGCAGCAGGGATGCAGAGCCTTGAACATTTGAGTCAGCTCCAGCTCCGGCTCCGGCTCCGAGTAAAATGGCAATACGGCTCCGGCTCCGGCTCCCACTCAGGGCAAAATATGACGGCTCCGGCGGATTCGGCTCCCCTCCGGCTATGCGTGCCGGTGCATTACGAAAACATTTAAAATGGGGCATATTGGGGCTTGGCAGGATAACACGAAGTGTGCTAACGTTCCTGGCGGTTTGATATCTACAAGAACCTAAAATTAAAATTTTAATTAAAAAAATTAACTTGACTGTGTAAATATATTATATTATTATGTATCTCATTTGCGTAATTACGTTGACAAACTTATCAAATAATCATTTAATTATTTTCTATTATTCTTATATCATCGTAATATTTGGCGTACGCGTATAGTCTTCCTATCTGGGTGACATTCCTAGCGAGTCGAAGAAAATATTTCATTGATAGAAGTGCGAACAGTCAACACTCGCCACCCAGCTCGCCATGCGGCTGGGTGTGTTGGCAGGAAGCACCGCGTACCAACCCCTACGGACCGCGACTGACCGGTCTCGGGTCAGGTAGCGCCTCAGGCAACGGCCAGCCGAGGCGGAGCTTAGTTCCAACGTCACACTATGGCTCCGCCCCTTGTGGAGTAGCCTCTGCTCACCGAGAGAGTTTCAGGAGCAAAATTTAACATTACGAGTGAACGGGAAGTGCCCTAAATATTGATCGGACATTGAAAAACCTTAGTAATAAAAATTAGGCCGCGGTCTGAAACGTCCATTGCCGAAGTTTCGTTCTTGAGAGGCAACGCATTCAAAAGTTATTGCGAAAAAGTCGCGTCCCACGCGGTTTGACGTCCACAGTAGGTCGGTGTAAAAACGGCCACACCAGATAACCAGCCTGCTGGACATTCTTATGACATGGAGGGACGGGATTTTGAGCTATGATTAGCTTTTCTGTCGACAGGATGCTGAGCGCTGTCCGCCTTCTGCCCACCGCCTACCCGTCTCAAAGGATTAGTTGTCAGCGTTTGGTCCAAGCATGGATACAAAACCAGGCGCTTAAAATCAAGTTACGTAACGATCAATGACAATGCAAGAAAGGTATGCCCGCAAATAAACCCCAGTTAAACACCACGGGTGGCTTTGAGTTGAGCTAAACTGTTCTCTGAATAGTGCACACCTTGCGAAACTGATTTCAGGTCATTTCATTCGTCACAATCTGATTTTATGGGTCACAATCACAAGCTCCCGCAATGTACTTTCTCATCTCCGACCTCCTTTAATTGCAGCTGACCTCTCTCATGTGTCATATGACATCTACCATGGCCATACAGCCCACTGGTCTCTCATGACCTCAACCCCACGGTCCTTCCTGACTGACCTCATATGCAATGCAACCTATCATGGCCCCTAACTCCCATTAACCTCTCCCTTTAGCCTTTGACCCCCATCCACCTATCCCTCTAACCTTCAACCCAACTGACCTCTCCCTATGACCTTTGATCCCCTACTGACCTCTCCCTATGACCTTTGACCCCACTGACCTCTCGGCGAAGCGTTCTGTGACCAGCTGCCGCACACGGTCACACATCTTTTCCCGGTGCTGGCTGTCCTGGTGCCGACGCCTCAGAGCCAGCAGGTTCAGCCGCCGCAGTCGCTCCGGGTCCAGCCGACACGAGGATGTGTTGACACGGCTCAGCTCAAACTGGCGACCGCACAGACGGGGAGGACACAAATGGTGGTAGAATTGCTCGGTAGAACGGTAACATAATGATACGGTCAATGTTCTTTTCTCGGGTCACCTATCTCCCCATTTGTCCAGCCTCATTTCCGAATCATGTCTACGTTTGTTTACCTACTCCCTACTCGTTCAGTAGCATCTATCCAGTATCCACTATCTATTCCCATCTGTCCCCTCATTCCCTTTCGCTTCCTTTTATCTCCCACCATCTCCATCTGTTCTACCATTCTCCCTCTCTCCTTACCTTTTCTGTCAGCTCCCTGGCGCTCGTCAGCGCCGTCTGGTCGAGCTCCTTGAATCCTCCACCGGCCAGGCACACGTAGTTGAGCAGCGCCTCGGGTAGCACTCCCCGCTGTAGGTGGGACTCGACCGAGGCGTCCCCGTGCCGCTTACTCAGCTTCGTTCCGTCCGGGTTGGTGACCAGGGGTAGGTGCGCGAATTGGGGCGGATCCCAGCCTAACGCTCTGGCGGCAGGGGAGGGGGAGAGTTAACCACAGGTAGGTGAGCGAATTGGGACGGCTCCCAGTCTAACGTCATGGCGGCAGGAAAGGAAGGGGGATGTGCCGGAGTATGTATGCATGAGGAAAATATATAGAGTCTTACAGGACACAAAAGAGATAGTTTAGAACGATAATGGTCAGGTAGAGCTGGGAAAAAAAACTAAACATAGCGATCATGCCCATGGACCATAAATGAATCAGAACCAAATGTAAGAGTATCTGTTGATTACGAGCGAGCGAACGCAGCGAGCGAAGCGAGTCTTTTCAATATAACGGAAAAATCTCAGTATGAGCGGCCCGGCCCGGCCCGGCCTGTAACGCTTTTGAGAGACTTATATCTCAGCAACCGCTAGACCGATTGGCCCGCGGTCTTTTTTGCTGGGTAGCCTCATCCCTTCTACCCCGTAATTGACTACTTTTGATGCATCTCAGTGACCGTCGTGGCACGCGCCACGTGAAAAGTCAAGGGTGTTCAAGCTGTTTTGCACAAGTAGTGATTTTGAGAGACTCATATCTCAGCAGCCACTTACGCGATTGTCTTGCAGTAATTTTTGTAGGGTAGCTGCATCCCTTCTACCAAAGGTCGGATACTCTTGATCTATGTGAGTGACCCCCACTGCACGTGCAAAATATAAGAAGAAGAGGTGCCAAATTTGTTCCCATTTCAATAACTCGGTAATTACTGGGGCGATTTCGCTGAAACTTGGCATACAGGTAGGCACCCACCAGGCAATGCATTCCCATGTGTTGCGGTTAAGGTGCTACTGCACGTGCGCACGTGCAGGGGGCGCTTCCAGATCTCGAGAACGGCTGGGCCGATTGCGCTCAAATTTGGTACACGGTTGGGGACCAGTTAGTAGGGTGCCGTGCAAAAGTCAGTTTGGACCCCGTTTGCACGTGCGCACATTCAGAATGCCGCTTCCAGATCTCAGGAACGGCTGGGCCGATTGCGTTCAAATTTGGCACACCCCTAGCAACCGGTTAGAAGGGTGCTTTGCACAAGCCCGTTGGAAGTACCCTCTCGCCCTTCCGTACGTGCAGGGCTCACTATCTCGCTCGCTCGTTCTTCGCCCAAAAGGCGTTTTACTGGTTTTATGTTTCAACATATATTCAGCTAACACTTTTTCGGTATAGATGCGCTCACGGTTTTGAAAACATGATAAATAGCAGCGCACAGCAATTTTACTTCATCCCCCTTCAATGCCTACCATTGTCCAGCCCGAGGAGCAGCGCGCCGTCTTACCGGTAGAGAGCGATATGTTTGGGCGTCGACACCTGCCACTCCACCCCGCGCAGGACGTGAGTGACGCGCATCAGGTGGTCGTCCACCACGTTAGCCAGGTGGTAGGTGGGGAAGTGGTCCGCCTTCATCAGCACCGGGTCGCCCTCCTGGGCAGCTACGTCGAACGTCACCTCGCCGTACACCAGGTCCGTGAAAGGTGTGTCCGTGTTCTCCAACTGGGGAAGGAGAGATATTCGTGTTCGGTACATGACGGATCGTTTACATTACATTCAGGATATGGGAAGATGTGTCTGAACGCTGAATGCCAAATCAGTTCGGCGACGGCAGCAGTAATCGAAGCAAGGTAACTCGAAAGCGACCAGCTGATTGCATGAACAGAGACAGCCACAGGCAAATCAGTTCAACATCGCAGGCCGTACCAAGCCTGCTGCCCCTCTGCCCTGAGACACGAATTGTTTGTTTGTTTTGTTGGGTTAGGCCGTTTCGGTCCAATGAGACCATTTCAGAGCCGGGAGGGTGATAGGATACTCGTATAGGGAGAGACATTGGTCTGGGCAGGCACCCTAGTGAGTCGCCGGGGCTGAGCCCGTCCAGAGGACAGGCCACCCAGCCCCAAGGCACTCACTGCACCCGGATACGGGGTGCGCTCCCTCGGGAGCAGCGGTGCCGCTCCAAGGGAGCAGCCCGCATGAGATAAAGTTGCCTGTCCAGCCCGGAAGGGGGTTGCGGCGTGGAGGAGGAGGATTTCAGTTTCCTGAGGATAGAAGCACGGGACGGTGATATGAGACACGAATAAGACAGCTGAGAGGTCAGCAGACGGTTTCCCCACTGGTTCGAACCATGCACGAATGGTCGCCCGCCACGCCGATTGTGTTCATCTCCGGGCAGCTGGCAAAAGTCCGCCGTTCAGCGTCCAGTCCACAGCTTCGTTCGAGACAGGAAGCTTATGCGGGATTACGAAGGCAGTGCATAAGTCATGGACCGGCATCAGAACGGGGGTGAGGCGAAATATGCGACATGACCGGTGCGGGAAAGGGAAATAAAGCGATTTCCCAGTAAAACTAGAAACAGAATACGACTTAAATAGAGCCTCGTGATGCATGGCTGAACACAGCAACACATTGATCTAAGGTAGATAGATGCCCAATGCCCATTATTCCCAGGTCGTCTCACCAGAGTAGCTGCAGTCTGGCCAATCCTCCAGCGACGTTCAGACTGCCGTGTGAACTCACCACTCACCTTCAGTCTGACGACATGCGACACGCCTCGCTCCTCCAGCATGTTTCGTTTCTCCTCGGACAGGTGGCGGCACCGGTTGTCGTAGCGCGGTTTCTCGCCGCGGCCGAGCGCCTGACGCCGCAGCAGCTGTAGCCTCTGGCGCGTGCAGTAGCACCGATAGGCGGCGCCACTATCCAACAGGCGCTGCACGTTCTCTCGGTACAGAGCGGTACGCTCAGACTGGGTGTACGGGCCGTACGGACCTCCCACACCCGGCCCCTCGTCCGGCTGCAGACCCATCTGGCGGTCGGAGATGGAAACAGAGGTGCGGTTAGCTGACACCAGGCGTACCACAGGACAAGAGAATAATACGAGTTCGACGCTTCACTAAATGACCTCCAAAAGAGCTGATTACCCACTAGAATAAAAATCAACATCCATCACAAATGATAAAAATCAGCGCCACTAACCGTATCCAACGTGTGTAGAAGCCGATCCACGGCGCCAGGCACTGTGCGTGTCTGGTCCGTATCCTCAATCCTCAGCAGAAACTTGCCGCCTTGGGACCGCGCAAACAGATAGTTGTAGAGTGCTGAGCGTAGACTGCCCAGGTGCAGCTCGCCTGAGGGAAAAGAGGGGAGGGGTCACATTACCACCAGGGTCGGTCACAAAGAGAGGGACAACAAATGGGGATTGTGTGTATTGAGGAAGGGGAGAGACACATCAAAGTCATAAGTCAGTGACAGACATATCAATCATGCAACAATCATCCCATCATACATAACATACCTGGGTGTGCACTGAGCAGCCTTACCTGTAGGACTGGGAGCGAACCTCGTCCTCACTTCCTGAAGTAGAGCAGAATGTGTGGAGAGTGGCCTGGACCATTGCTGTCTCCACATATGGTGAAGTTGAAGTGGGCTTCTCACAAAGCATTTCATGGCTTAAAACTCAGTTGTCAGCCATCAGACAATCCTGCAATATCAAACCGGTTGTTAGTTGGTTAAATTTACATTGTCAGTCAGCACTGGTGCAGTACAGCTTTATTGTGGTGCTGTACAGATTTCACATGGAATGATGTGGTAAGGGCCCTAACTTGGCACCAGGCACTGTGCTAGCGCAGTGCACTGCTGTCTCAGACAATAATGCACAGTTCACACAACAGGCCAGCCAGGGAATAATTGGAAAGTCAATGACTGACCTGAGAAGGTAAAACTGGGTATCGTTGGATTCGTCTCTTCCCAAAGAATCTTTTTGGTCTTTACCGCGAAGCTCTATCTCCAACAGTAACGAAATGGCGCGGGGGGTGGCAGCCCCCCCCCCCATGCGCGTTCTAGGATGGGAAAATGGCATGTGCGGGCGAGGGTTAAAGCAATATTATTGTGCTCAGTAGATCAGAGTTCCAACATTTCTGTTCAACATTAGGCATGTTCGTTCTTGAAACACTGGCTTATTTTTAGACGATAGGTCATTTAGAATGGTCTACATTTATGCCCAAATATGGTCATGAAGACTCAATCTTTTATGCCTCTGTTTTTTATTCCAGAAGCCTAGTTTGCCTAGCTGACCTTAACCTACATATATTATATATACAAACCTGCAACCTGCTATCCCTGTTCACCTACACCTACAGTTGACCTACAAACCTACAAACCTATAACCTACACCTACAAGCCTACAGTGTCCCTCGGTTGCAAAAGCTTCGTGTGACGTCTGCTCTACGAATGCCAAAATTCCCAGTGTACGGCCCTCCAGGTATTAAGTGGTTGGTTGCCAACATCACAATAAGCGATCTGCATTGATGAATACGGCTAATGGCTGTTGATAACCATTGCATAAGTGTGTGCACGAACCCTCTTCTCATTTCTATTGAGTCATTTTACAGGAGTGTCTCTGTCATTCAAAGTTATTACACCAAAAGCACATAGGCTAACCAACCACTCTCTCTTTTGCTGGAGGGCCGTACCTATGAAATTCAATTCAATTTGCTGTTATTTGCCGCAATCCAAAAAAGCTCTTATTACATGGTGCTGGTGGCCATTTCAGTTTGGGAGAGGAGCCCTTCGGGCGCATTTCGCAACAGCAGCAACAAAATAATAGGCAGCAACAGTGTCGCCACCATTAGCGTCGCCACGGGAGGGGGGGGGGGGGCAAGCGGGGCAGCTTGCCCCCCAACCTCGGACCGGGCACCCCCTGAGATCGATACAGATCAGATGAGATTTTGGAGTCGGGGAAAAATGGGGGTACCTTTCTGAGAATGCCTGTGAGGTCAGACTCTGTTGGAGCGTGCAGTTCAAACCAAAGTCAGAGTCGCAGTCGCCAAAATCTTCAAGACTACGACTCCAGACTCGGAAATGTCAATGCCATGATTCATGCCATGTTCCTAGTCGGTTCTTTATTACATTTTGTAGCTGATTTTCATAAATTTTGGAGTGCTGACACATAATTTTCGTTCAAAGCGTGACACGAAATCTTCGGGGCCTTTCTCAACTCTCGTCAAATGTCTGCGACAGGCACAAGTACCGTTCAAGTGCCGCAGGGCTCATGAGCTTGCTTTTCACACAGGCTCCTAAGGAGCTCCACTGAGCCCTAAGAAGCTTTCGGAGGGCCCAAACCGGCCTCTGAGAGTCCCACTGGTGTCCATGTTCTCTAGAGGGCCCATACAGGAATCTTTGAGGACATTATACATACGTAGACCTCTGAAGGGCCACACGAATCTTTGAGGATGCCTTCGAAAATTTCTGAAAACCTCAACTGGCCTATGATAGTTCAGGCGAACTTTTGAGGCGACAGACTTTACCAACCCCAACCCGGCATCTGAGGGGTCACAACTCACGTCTCCCTCTTAGGGCCGCAACACATGTTTCTTATGTCCCTACCAACGTAGGGTCCTTAAGGATTCGACACAGACCCCAGTGGCGGATCCAGGGGGGGCTGCGGGGGCTGGCAGCCCCCACCCAAGGAAAACTGGCGCCACTGCGCCGAAGGCGCAGTGGCGCCAATTTTCAATTCGCAACTCATCGGAGTGCTGCATACTAGGACTAGGATGCAAAAATCAGTCGAATAACGTCGTTTCAGTACGCTCCGCACCGATATTTCCAATCGTGTGGTGTCACTGTACATACTGATCCTGGGCGCCTCTTGTCAGGGCCACTGGGCGCCAATATTTCAGCGCCAATACGATGCGACTATGGCGCCCATCCGGGGCGTGGCGCCCAATTATGACCTGCAGCCCCTCCCCAGTGAAAATCCTGGATCCGCCACTGACAGACCCCGACGGTTCACACTGTTATTCGAGGGCTTCAGGCTCACCCTGGGCCTAGTCTCTTAACGCCCACCGCCCACACTGGCTTCTGAAAGCTCGTGTGCCCTAAAGGGCTTTCCGGGCCCACCTTAGGCTCGGAAAGCCCTAAAAGTAAAGCACCACATACACGTAAATATTTGGGGTGACCCACGCCGATCTCCGGGATCCTAAGCAGGCTTCTGAGAGTCCACACTGACCCTGAGACCTGAGTGGCCTGAAATGGCCTGGAAGTCGCAATCATATCTCTAAGGGATCCTTGCCGCTATGCCGTGCGTAACTTTTGGTTCCGTTAAATATTTTTGGTCGCGTTTGCAGCGCTTCCCTTCACTCGAAAAACCAGAAACTTTTTGTTCACACTCGAGTGAACAAAACACTTCTTCTCACTGCAGCAAGGATGAATGATGTACTTCCGATTCACACTTCCGACATTCTCTCTCAGTCTCCGCCGAATGCCCAATTCTTAGCTTCAATCGGCGGCTGGGATAAGCCCTATGCATTTCACGTAAAACCTCGGCATGCATGCGTGAATGGAGGTTTTAGCGAGGTGATCCGATTCAAATGGAGCGTTTTTCACCTTCTTCTGGGTAATGATCATGAGCAACGAGAGTTTGCACAGGGGCCCTCTGCAGTGCGTCGGCAATCGCAGCCACTGTAATTCTAACGGTCGTTTTTGTCCAGAAATTTCAAAATTTTGATTTTTTTTTGTAAAAAAATGCATGCATAGCTAGGAGGAAAACTTTGTCACCATCGGATTCCTCGCACCATTGCGCGTCAAATGATATGTAAAACGAGTGAGTAACGGCTGGGGAAAGGCAGGATTTAACACAAAACTTGATTTCGCCCCCCCCCCCCAACCGAAAATGTCTGGCGACGCCTATGGTCGCCACAGTACCAAAAAAAAAAAAAAAAATACCTAATAGAAATTGCCAGTTGTGCGGGAAGTGGGAACCGCACGGGCTAGTGGAGGCTGAGCCCATCCAACTTTTCGGCTAGGGGGCTCGTAATGTAGTTGAGCCCCTCCAACTGGAGCAATCAAAATGGGAAATCTACCGACATCATTTCATAGATTCATATGATATGCATAAGCGCAGGAACCGAGGGACATTGGGGGCAGCTTGCCCCCACAACTCTGGGGCCGTGTGGGCGGTGCCCCACAACTTTCATAAGGCCACAAACCATTGGGGCAGCTTGTCCTCCCCAGGGGCGTCGACACCGGTCCGACTTTTTCGACTAGTCGGACCACTTTTTCGACTAGGCGGTGCCCTGCTGTGGCTCGCGGGGGCCCCTGCTGCAGACCGCGGGGGCCCTACTGCGGCTCGGGGAGGCCTGCTAGAGACCGCGGGGCCCTGCTGCGCCTCTGGGCCCTGCTAGACACCGCGGGGCCCTGCTGCGGCCCGCGGGGTTCCCTTCTGCGGCCGCGGGGGCCCAGCTGTTGGGGCTCTCGGGGGGCCCTGCTGCGGCCACGGGGGCCCCTGCTGCGGCAACGGGGGCCCCCGCTGCGGCTCGCGGGGGCCCTGCTGCGCCTTCGCGGGGGGCCCCCCACCGGTGGGGGCCCCCCGAGAAAAAGTCGGACCAGTTTTCCTTACGCGTTGACGCCCCTGGTCCTCCCCAAATTAAGGGTTGTTGAGTCACAAAGGACGAAAGCATGTAAGTGAAAAATCCACCTCTTTCACTGGCTCAGCAACTCATTTGGCAGAGCAAAACCATTAATCCAGATTCCAGGTTGTCAATACCACAGTTTCTTCAGTGTTCTTCACCCAGCTGAGACGGAATACCTCACTTTTTTGCAAATGTTTTCGTTTTTTTCGTTGAAGGCTTAGGTTGAGGTGTGAAAAATAAGTGGCCTAAAACCGGTGAGAAAACTAGATTTGAGGGTACCCTTCCCTAGGCTGATCTCTATTATGGTGTAGCCCCCCAGTCTGGAAGAAATTCCCGCGCCACTGAAAATCAAAATTGCGAAAATAGAGGCTCTAAATCAAAATAAAGCAAAAATCTCAAGCAAAAATATGCACCATCGGCAAAAATATTGAGCGTCTATTTTGCAACAAATGCGCAAGAACTGAATAAGTACTAAATTCTTGAATTGTGCTGAACTGTGAAGGAAGAGAAAGGGAAATAAATTAATTGAAGGGATAGCTCTGACCCTCTCTAACCCTCTCAATTCAAAAATAAAGCACACCTTTTGATGAAATACTCATTAAAAATTTACATAACAAATAATGCATCAAATTTAAAGAAATAATGTGAAAGTAAAAAAAAAATGTTGAAAACTTTCAATTAATTCCCTGATGTGTGCATCCAAATCTAGCTGATTGTTTACATTTCAATTTCGGAGGGTGTGTTTGTTTGGGTGCAGTTATTTTTTTACATCTTAGTTTTTGTTTACGCGTTTTTAGACGTTTCTCGGCGCACTGTTGTTGAAGTTATACAGGCCTATTTTACAGCTATTTTTGATTCACAAAACTGCTGCAATTTTTATAATTTTTTTTTGCATATTGGCATTTTGATGGAATTGGAATGCATTAAAAGATTTTCATTCTTAAATCTCGAATGCCAATATAGTAACAATGTGAATCGAGCCACGCTCGTAGTGAAATATTACGAATCAATGATAATAACAGTAACCGGCAGAATATATGTAGTTACCGCGATTGTATAAGATAATACTATATGTTCCGCGTGAAATTGACAGGAGATACCACAAGAATAATAGCCTAAACAAATATTGAAATAACTGAAAGCTCATAATACCCGACTAGCACTGCTAACGCTGACCATTTTCTTCGATCATTAAAGGAAATAGTTCACTTTTAACATGGGGTTTTGAGCTGGAATAGCAGTTTCGTAGCTTGAGCTGAGACTAGCACAAATCAGAAGCTTTTACGGCTCAACGATCACCCTAGACGAAGATATTCCATTTCTCGTTCCGAAAAGAGTGCCTTGTAGAGGAATGCGTGCCTTGCACAGGAATGCAGCCACGTCATCGTCAGCCAATCAGCGTGCTGCTTACAGCCAATGCAGTATGCGTAGGTTTGAGCTACGCAATATGATTGGTCAATGCGTAATAAGCTTCCGCGTCAAACATTATTTTACATAGAATGTAGTTCGTCCTATATTAAAATATAGAAAATAATTGTTTTTACAAAAAGGTTTTATTTTATTTCATGATTATTTTGAGCATAAAAAATCATAAATCAATAGCAAAATACTGATTTCAGGAAAGTGGACTGTTTCCTTTAAATGCTTACCATACCATACCTAACATCTGAATATAATGAACTTGAACCTCGAAAAGCGAGTTGTCCAGTTTCAGTCCCAGTTTGTGCGGTACTGGGACACATTCATTATCAGTGAGTCAAATAAAAATTGTCCGGGGCATCATGCTGTGATTATATGAACCAGTTAATATGTATAAAATCACTGGCGATCGCAGCCGCTAGCAAAAGGGGGGGCCAAAGTCACACTCGCGGGACATAACATTTATCCGTCACGGGGGGGGGGTGATCGGCTAATTTTTTACGTCCACGAGGTGCCGCGCAGTTGGCATTACTTATGCTTCATCCATCTGATTCTTGCGTGAAATCTTTAAGCTCAATTTAAGGCAAAATCACCAGTTCCATTTCCCGTCCCACGGTGCTTCCACCGGTCGAACCACTGCACCATGGCGACGGATCGGTGTAGCATAGGTATAGGGTAAGGTGCCTAATTAGCGACCCCCTTAATTTGAACCGTCATTGCTCACGCTCTGTGGGTGCCACTGTATTACTGGCTTGATTTTCGGAGAGATCGTTCATTTTTCTATTAAAATATAGTCATTTTCTGCCCCAATATTCACTAACTTATTTGTAGTGTGCATTTTGGCAAACCATTGCAAAAAACGCTAATAGGGAACGCTTCCCGATTAGCGACCGGGGAGGGTCGCTAATAAGTCTATGGGTTTCCCCCATATTAAAAATGGCAAAAAATGCGACGCCTGAAAAGATGAAATATGATCTCAAAAAGGTAACCTATACGCAAAGCACTCAATCACTCGAACATGCACGTTTATCCAACACATTTACGTAAGTAAAAACTGATCACGTGATGCACTGAAGGCGAAAAGAAGGCGGAAACCCAAATTTTGCGGGCTATCTCGTATGATATTCGAGGTCCGCGCTGAATTCGGCACCCCTGCAGTCGGTGACGACATTTGGCATCCCCTGCCACACATTGCAAGCTTCAGCAACATTTCATTTTCATTTCTCTCTTTTCCCCTTTCTTTCCCTTCTTGAGCTATTTGCGACCATGTCAGGCGCAAATAGGAAATATGAGTTGCGACACATTTTTAACCGCCATGCTGTGCACAGTTGAGCGATTCACTTTGGGAAAACGGCAATCAATTGAAAAAGGAATCTCGATTCAGAATAAAAAAGGTGCATCATCCTAATGTGCATCGCTTTTCATCAGAGAGGGCCCAAACACACACGTTTTGGATAAGAAACTCGTCATTTTTATTTAAACTCACCTGAAACGTCCCACCAGAAACATCGACGACCGGAAAATAATTTAATTTGCTAACCAAAGTATGGCTGACTTTTTGACGATGTTTTTACCCCGTTTTCTCCTGCCAGTTTTTCTGTAGGGTGGTAGGTCGTGTGGGACCGATTCCCTTCTTCCATATCATGATAAAGAGAGTACACGTTCAAGCTTTGTTACATAGAAATAGCCGTCACTTTCCCCACGTGTCGGCACCGTCCACCGACCCGGCGGGTCGGCGGACCGGTCCTTGATTGTGCAACCACTTTGTATATAACGCACAGGCACTGGCGAATCAGAATCAGAACCACAGTTGCAATACAAGTCTCGGCCCGCTCAGTCGTCTCTCCTTCCGCGCCTCCGCGACAATGGTGGCAGCGGTGGTCGAGGGGACTTGTGCCCCTCACCACGGACCCCAGCCTCTACATCTGCACTGACATCGCAGACTGGTTAGTCCGTGCTCCGTGACGGTGTATCGCCCCTACGTCACGTCATCGACTAGGGAGCTGACCATCCTGGACTCGTCATCGTCCAGCAGCACCGTCTCCAGTGAGTAGCTCTGCCCAGCAAGACTATCTGCCCTGCGGCAAGGTCATCAGCTACCCAGAAATAGCCGTCACTTTCCCCACGTGTCGGCACCGTCCACCGACCCGGCGGGTCGGCGGACCGGTCCTTCATTGTGCAACCACCCTGCATATAACGCACAGGCACTGGCGAATCAGAATCAGAACCACAGTTGGAATACAAGTCTCGGCCCGCTCAGTCGTCTCTCCTTCCGCGCCTCCGCGACAATGGTGGCAGCGGCGGTCGAGGGGACTTGTGCCCCTCACCACGGACCCCAGCCTCTACATCTGCACTGACATCGCAGACTGGTTAGTCCGTGCTCCGTGACGGTGTATCGCCCCTACGTCACGTCATCGACTAGGGAGCTGACCATCCTGGACTCGTCATCGTCCAGCAGCACCGTCTCCAGTGAGTAGCTCTGCCCAGCAAGACTATCTGCCCTGCGGCAAGGTCATCAGCTACCCTGGACTACTACGGAGCCCGCCGACAGCGCACGGCTCATCAGCCCGCGCCGTCCTCCTCAGCATCATCGAGTGATGGACACCACCTCGCTGAAGGACTCAAGATCGGAGGAGAGAAGAGAAGAAAAAAAAAATATCAACGCTAAATTCAAGAGAAATTGGCACCGAAATCAAGAAAATTCACCCATTATGAACTTTTGCTGTATTTTCGTCAAAAAGTGACAGTGAAATTGTGCTGTGAAATTTGTTTTAACTTCGATGTGTTTTAAAAACCGTACTGTTTCATTATCCGTTTTCGTCAGTGTTCTGTCGTTTGTTGTGCTTCATTGTGGTTGCTCACCCCAAAATTTACGGAGAAATTGCAAATGCGCTTAATTTTTACCTGCATTTTGCAGTGTCACTTTGACACTTATAAGCATAAAAAGAGCATATTCTGAAGTCGGTATGAACATTCAAATACGTTAATCGTGGTCAATTCACTGAAATTATATTGTATTGATATTCGGCCAGAGATGCCGAGGGCCATGGAGATGCCCAGGGACGGTCCCCGCCAAGAGTGCGGAGGGATCGCCCGGTAGTAGGTGTAATTGTCACGAAACTTACTTATCTGTTCATACCATTTTGTGATACGCTCATATGGAAATTTCTTTCTCCGTCAGCTAAACGTTTCCTCTCTTTGTTATGATCGCTTCGGTTCCCTACGCTTCCCTGGGGGAGGGAAGATAATGTGGGACCGATTCCCTTCTTCCATATCATGATAAAGAGAGTACACGTTCAAGCTTTGTTACATAGAAATAGCCGTCACTTTCCCCACGTGTCGGCACCGTCCACCGACCCGGCGGGTCGGCGGACCGGTCCTTCATTGTGCAACCACCCTGCATATAACGCACAGGCACTGGCGAATCAGAATCAGAACCACAGTTGGAATACAAGTCTCGGCCCGCTCAGTCATCTCTCCATCCGCGCCTCCGCGACAGTCGCAAATCGGAAAGGGTCGCTAATTAGGCACCTTACCCTACTGGAAGGTCAGGCACGCGGATTCATGACCTTACCACTATAAAACAATTCGGAAAAGTACAGATACCTCTTGCTTTGAACAAGCATGTGAAACCCAGAGAGCATTTTCAGACTATGACATTTAACCATATAGGTAACATACCTATAATAGTTGTGTGGCGGCGGGAGAGAGTAGGTACACCGACCTCTGGAGACCCCCCACAGGTTCCGAGCTTTCAAAATTGGCATCTGAGGGCCGCGCGCGACTCCTGCGGGGCTTCGCAACGGCTCTATTGAGGCTCACTCAACCTGCCTAGTCTTACTGCTAAAAAGACTGGCCCTGAGCCCTAAGGACTTCATCAGTCTCTGCCAGCCCCAGGACCCACACCGGCTCATGGGGTCCCGTCCCGACGTCGAAATATGAGGGAATCTGCGCGAGACCATCAGGACGTAAAGTAATCTCGATCAGGACCAACGTAAGGCTGTGCCGGAGACTGCGTGAGCCCTCTGATCTTCAGAAACCCACTACAAAGGCCAGTAGTTTGAGACAATCAGTGACCGAGTTGGGCTCTCAGAGGCTAATGTGGGTCATTACAGGCCAACATGGGCCCTCAGAGGTCAGCGTGGGGCCCTAAAAGACCGGCTTGAGCCGTCGTTGGACCCCAGAGGCCAGCAGAGGGCCCTCAAAGGCCAAGATGGGCCCTCCTCAGAGGCCAATGCAGGCCCTTAGAGGCCGGCATCGGGTCTTCAGCAGCCAGTGCGGGGCCCTCATTGGCACCTAAAGGTTCGTCTTGGGACACCACAGACAGAAATAAGGCCACCAGAGACCGGTGTGAGGCCCTCAGACGCCGGTTGGGACCCCTGAGGCCGGTTAGGGGCCCTCATAGGCCAGATGTGGGGTCTCAGAGGTTGATGTAGGCTCTTAGCGGTCAACGTGGGCGCTTGACCGCCACTGACGTTCCCTCAGAGGTCAGTGTAGGACGCTCAAAGACCGGTGTGGGAGCTATATTAATAGCTTGGAGTGGGTTTTTTTGAGCCTCGTGACGATCGAATAATTGTCAGGGCCCCATACACCTATATGGGGGCCCGAAGAGGGTCTCATTCCAGCCATTGCTGGGCCTACGAGAGCCTCAAGTAAACCCACGCTGATATTCCATATAAGATCCGGCCATACTCGTGAACCGGTGCCAGCGACGCTGACCACCAAATTGACAGAATGCGAAACTGAGCCCACTCATGAGTGAAATTTACGTCCTTTGATGGCGCAAGAAAGAAAATGAAACATACGAAAAGCTTTTCTAGGACTTTTGTTCGATCTGAAAGGTGGGGCCAAAAGATAGTATGGCCCCACCTTTCAGCACCAAAGGGGGGGCCATGGCCCCCGTGGCCCCCCCCCCTGGGACCGCCAGTGTATAAAATCTAGTTATTGGCCAAACGCAAGGCTATGTAAACCGCCAAACGTAACGGCCACGGACCGTAGGTTGACGACCCCAAAATGAAGTACAGGTTCAAGCAGTTTAAATAATGCTGGTGCGTGGAGTTGAATAGTGATGTAAATGTGGCCACAGTCTACAACCACGATAACAAATATCGATTGCGCTTCGCTCAACCAGAGCCATGCTCGTTCTTGCTCATGAAGCAGTGCATCCCTATAAAATGAAAAGTCTGAACGAATGCATTCACGTTCCTACCTCTGAATCACCTTATATTGAGATCCGTTTCTTAACAGGAACACAAACGCGGCCCATCAATTCGTCAGTACTGAGGCAACAACGTCTGACAAGTGACAACGCATCAAATGGCCAACTTCTGACACTATCTCAATCTACCAATACGGTAACGGCAATAAAATTGCATTGCAAAATGCAAATAAAATTGCACGATTTCCAAGCGCAGTTTGAAATCAAGTGCGACCAGCTAGTGTCATTTTCACAACCAAGTGCGACCAGTTAGTGTCTCAAGACACATTACAACTGCATAGGTACCGCAGTAACACATTAGGGGCGAAAGGAAACACATGACTTGTGTACGACCAGCGTTCTGTCAGCGTACGACGCATAAAGCAAACTGCTCAAACAACTGCGGTCCCGAACAACACAACACAGAGCTCCGAAACGAATGGTTTACAAAAGTCTACGACTGACGACATCGAAACAGTACGTTCATCGGGACTAGTCACATCACTCGCTCAACCCAGCTGGGTTATGGGTACTAATTGCGCTTCAAATTGACCTCTGACAGCCATTTACTTACGCTAGTTTGATGCATAAAACTGTACATTGAAACTCAAGCGGCAGCACATAGGTCTCCATCAAGGTGGTTATATACAACAGAGCACCACGCTAAAACGAGCGCGAGCTGCACTGTCACACTGACAGAACACTGAGCCGCGAGTCGTGACAGTCGCACTGCGTCATATGCACGCAGATGTCGCACTCACGGCACCGTTGCTGGCACTGCGCTGCGGGTGGACACGCGCGGTGCAGTAGCTCCACGGTGTGCGGTTCACCGGAGGGATTACCAGTCTCCGACCGGACAGTCCAGGCGGGAAATGCGGTGTCTTCAACCATGACCGCCGTCCCCGTCTCCGCGGAGTGCCGCACGGCGGCGACGCGGCGGCGTCGGATCTTGAGCTGGTGGACACTGGACTCCTGCCAGAGCTACCAGCTTCAGCCCTTCAGCATCCTGTCATCAGCAAACTCCAGCAGAGCTCCAATGCAACTGGGAAAATAAAATCTATGCTGTTAAGCTAAATCATGCAAAACATTTCCTTGCACAGGATTCTCTTGCGCATTTCAGCAGAATCTTCTGTGATATCCATGGCCGTGACAAGAGGACTTTATGCCATTGTAAAAAACATAGGTTCATTGGTTCTCATTTACCCACATCGAGCTTCTATAGGTACCATTCATTTGTATATCATGAAGTATGTTAACTACACAATATTTATGCAATAGACTGACATGAAATATGTAGGAATGGCAAGAGAGATGGGAAAATAAGCCAAATAGGTTGCAGGATTTATTGGCACCAAGCAGGTCAGAAAGTAGAAGTTCAAACAATCTTACAAACTACACCAGAGAAAGTCTTTGAATTAGGTACAAAATTATGCCACAGAAATAAAAGCAATGCAGTTTTGTAGAGCATCTCCCAAAAGATAATTGTGATTCAGCCTTGCTCCCATTCTGAGATTGAATAAATACAAATTATGGGGTGAAAGTTACTAAAAAGCAGTTTTTTTTTTAGAAAACAGATTCAATCCATGTTCGCCTGATATCAAACTCAAGGCAACATATCATAGCTTTGACAGCATGAAATGTCATTATTGAGGTTACAATTTCCATAATCTTGTCACAAACAGTGCACTTTAATATGGAATATGGATAACTAACACCAAATCAGCCAACCTTGTATCTTTATCTGGTGAAACTCAAGAAACCAATAAAGCAAACAATTTCTGAGCAAAACATTTAAGTATTTGACAAACTCAAGCACCATGCAGCCACTGGAGTACCTAGGTATGATGGGGTCTCGTAACTTGAACGTTCAGTCTGTAAGAGCATGCCTGACTTGACTTAACAGATTTGAGGCATCACAAAGACCTTTGCAGCAGCTCCTTCTAATTCTTTTTTTAACATAAACTTTAACTATCATTACCATGCTATGATGATGAGATGGCTGGTTTCGGGAGCATGAAAAGTAGCAGCCCTTCTTTCATTCTATTACCTTGTTTTCACATGCTGCACAAAATGTTTTTTTCTTCCACGTTCCATTCTGTCATTATAAAAAATAATAGGTATCATAATTGCTTCACTTCTTCCTTATATTTCAAGCATTGCTGCTGCAATTCATCACATCTCCCGTTAGTAAACCATTGCCCTATGGCCGCTAAAGTAAATAAGTGGAATGCGCCAGAAATTGTCAAAATCGCGCCAAAATAGCAAACTAAGATGAGAAAAAATAACCGCACCCGTTTGTTTGGGCTCAGTTGCAATCAAGTTGCAATGACGAATGCAAGAAATAAATTGAATCTGCAGCTTCCTAATATTTCAATGGGTATTGTGTCATTTTTATGCTTAAACCCTTGATAGGCATCTTCACCAGTTACAACGTCACGTGGTGGGCGTTGCTCAAGCCGTAAGTGAAACTGAAAGTGGACGGGAAATAGGTAATTATAGTAGATGAATTAAGTCCCTTGCATTATAATTGCCTGTGGGTTCGGTATATCAATAGGTCAAGTTTAGGTCCTAACTACAATTGTGACGCTGTTGATACGAATATGTAACAGCAACAATTTTAGGTTTTAGGTTAGGTTGTAGGTTTGTAGGTTTTAGGTTGTAGGTAAGGTAGGTAGGTTTGTAGGTTTTAGGTTGTTAGGTTGTAGTTTTGTAGGTTGTAGGTTGGTAGGTTATAGGTAAGTAGGTAAGGCTAGGTCAGGTTTGATTATGTTTTTTCTTCTATTTGCGAGACATATCACATATGAGTATTATTTTTGGATTCAGGATGTCAAATAATGTAAAAATATGAAAAATTTAACAATGAAATCTGCTTAGGACTTAATCTTGACATTTACCGTGGGTTCCCGGTTCGGTGTGGATTTTTTGGGCTCTCGGCCCGCTTTGGTGCGGATTTTCCAGCTCAGTTTGAAGGGTTGGTGCGGATTTTGAACTTGGACCGGTGTGCCTCGTCAACCTGCGTGCCATACTTTGCAGTCTGGCATGGCTCCATTCCAATCAGCCAGTCTGCCATAGCGCTCACGCTCAGCAGTTGGTATGGTTATGGACTGCCAAGTTCAGCTCCCTGCCACAGCATGCTAAAGCCAGGTCCGGTTGCCTCGTAGCTGCTCTGACTTACTGTGGCTGCAGTAGGGTTGAGGTACAGCACTGAGCACGGCTGATGTGGCATAAGTTGAAGTCCGGCTGTGGTATGGTCGAGCCTTAGGATCGTGTGTCAACTCCAGTAGTGAGTAGAGCTCCAGACCTTGCCTGTACTTCGGCCAGAGTAAAGTGCCAGAGCTTGCCAGAGTAAAACCAGATAGGGCCAGGACCAATTTTGCAGGGTGGTTGATAGCTAATATAAGGATTTAATTCCATACTATTAGGTATCAACTATCAATACAACCTGCACCAGCTTAGGACTTAGGTATTACCTCGCATCCGATCGAAGGCAGGTATTTAGACGCCAGTTTGCGTACCGGGCACCGCAGCTTTACAACGGTGTGCCGGTGGAGCTGACTGCCCTCAAGCATGATGCCTTCAAAAAGAACTTGCGTCTTTACCTCAAGAGAGAGTACGAGTAGGTGCTGTTCCGGTATAGTTACCTATCGTCTGTGAGGCTTATTTACCGCTTGTGAAACTTGTAACTTGCGCTGTGATGTTTCTCTTTTTCTTTTATTATGCGTTTTATGTGTGTATGTGAATGCATGTACCTTTTTACCCACTTTTACTACTGTTCAGCGATTGTGACACTGGACTGAGAATAGCCACGGCTCCTGTGGATGGTCCAAAGACGTTCAATAAATAAATAAATGATAAATACCTCAGTCCTCAACATATTACTACCGAGGCAATAAAATACCAGCTGGTGGCATCATCAGGACTTCTGTCCAAGTTGAGTGTGACATCAGTGCCAACAATAGTGCAGCTGGATGATTAATGCAATAGTAAGTCTTGTCTGCAGGCGCTTCACCAGTGGAACAAGTTCCAGGCTGAAAGCTACCGACTAAGAGAAACTAAAAGTGGATGGCCAGCCTCAAACATTGATGCAGATGGTATGTGCAATGCAATGTGCTCACATATTTCCATATAGGCTAAAGTAAATACTCTGGAGTAAAAGCAAGGCCTTAAAGAGCATAACACAACCACAACCTATGCTTCCATTCCATCCCTGAGACTAGTGACTACAGTTTAGAGCCCACAGTAGCAGGGGCGTCGCCACGGCTCCCCAACTTGTACGGACACATTCTGTCAGCCGTAACACTCGTCAGAGGCGTTAACCCACGCGGGCCCGTGGAGGGTGTTTTTCGTCCTCCTCCCCCTTTCCCACCCCACCCCGGACGAATAGTTGCGATAGCCCCCGAATGCCTAAGGGTTTCTGAAAAAAATACAAACACATTTTTTTATACCTACATTAGGTTAGATGGCAGGTCAGCGACCCCGAGCTGCGGCTTATTTGCAGATTTCTTCAACAAAAAAGGTCCTAGACAGTGGTACCAACGCATTAGTCATATCAAGACGTGTCGAATGACATATAGGTTGTTTGAAAAGGTCCAGTTTTATGTTGACCTCATGTGACCTCGAATGGCCTTTGGTTGACTTTTACACATGATCAGTCTCATTTGCTGTATTTGAAGTCGCTGGTCACGACTTTGTCATGTTCTTTTGGTTTAAGCATTCATTTAGAGCCTCAGGATGACAAAAGTGACATAATTATTATGGCTGACGTATCAGTGAAATAGCCTATAGAAGGATACAGGGTGTAACGAAATTATCCGGACAACTTTCTTTCCGCTGTAATTAAGAAACATGACAACCTGAGGTTTTTTCCTTTTGATGATAATATAGCGATTTTTCATAAGATTATATTTAGAAATGCCTGGAGCATGACAGCTACTGGGTTTTCAAGCACAGTGGGTTTGATGTGGACCGACGCCGTATTAGCATGTGCCTACATACAGTTGGGTGGTCCTGGTGCCGGGTGTCCCTTCATTCACCTCCTGCTGGACAAAAGTCCATAAGATCTCAATGGAATTAGGATGACAACTATTTCCAAGCCGTAGCCCGTTAGTCCAGAAGGATAAGAGCTTCTCCCGCCGTCACTTCTCATTCTCCTACGGACTTTAATGTAGCGCTCCAGCCTGCACGAAGGCAGCGTGGTTTGAATCAAACATCAGTGCGCTTTTAGAAACCGAGCCCTCCCGTGCCGTCCGGTTGAGCGGCTTCAACTATTTGTCTGACAGGATGTTGCTCCGGTAATACTCGTCACTGATGGTGGTCCTCTGTGACACAATGCACAGCTGGAACATCGCACAGCAGCTGAATATGCTCCAGATCTGGATCTTGGCCCGATGTTTGACGCCGGTGACGACCGGGACGTTTGAGTTACTGGCAGCCAACACAAGGCCGCTTTGACGGTTCAAAGGACAATACTGCGCGAATAGCTACCCATTCCACCAGACCACCTTGCTCATGTCTTCCTTCGACCAGTGGATGCGTCTTGGCGTGAGGCCAAAGGTGGTGCACTGGATATTTTCCCGTCAATTTCGTTGTCTTTTTCAGTTTGATGAGCAGAAGAACCAAGGTAAGGGGCGGATAGCGGTGGGTCATGACTCACGATGTGGGCCCTCTTATTATCTGTCTTGAATTCAGGTCAATCTGCGTTGGCAAAGGGTGGCTTTTGCGGTCGCAGCCGGGCTGTGTTCACCAATCAAGTCCCAGCTTATTACGCCTCAAGCAGATGTGCAGCTGGCTGCTGCTGATGTCCATAGAGCTGCTGGCAGACCAGCTTCAGGCTCATTGCCGCCATGCCAAAAGCATGATTCTTTAATACAAAAAGAGAGAGAGTGTGTTCCTTTCTCTCCCCTGCCTTCAGGCATGTACCCAGGATTTCGCCCAGGAGGGGGCCACCTGCTTTCGAAGGGGCCCCCCACAGTGTATAGGGCCCCCCCAGGTTCCCCGGGGGCCCCCGGGAGTCATGAAGAACCTTTCGATGGTGGGGTGGGGTGGGGGGGGGGGGGCATAGTGGGTCCGGTCTCTCCTGCAGACGTAGGTGAGAAAACGCCACGTGTGTGGGAAAACGCAATTCAGTTCTTTACAACCTAATGTAGCATTTGGTTGTGATTTCTCGCGTTCAACTTCATCAAAGTCAATTAAAACGGTCTCTGTAACGGTCTAAGCCTTGAGAAAATGTGGAAAATTGGAAAGTAAAAATATTTTTGCTTGAGGAGTGTGCATGAAACGCACGGCATTTTATGAGCGAGCGCCTCAATTACTGAACATCCTCCAATTCCGGATATGTAGGTATATAATATAATAGTGGGGAATAAATGTCTCGTTATCGGAATTCCACTATCTGGCAACTAGCCCTATGTAAACGCGGTTATTATATGTTTCACTAGGAAACGAGCGCAATTGTACTTTTAGCCAGAAAATAAAGGCTTGGGTAATTCTAGGACACTGTATTAATTGGAGGAATAGGACTTAGGAGGAAATGCGATTGCAAATCGACCCACATCCCTGTGTTAGCCAATGACGCCTTTGGGGCCAAGGTTGGGGGCATTCAGTTTAGCCTTTTTGTTTTTCTGTGATATCTCCGGCACTGTGAAAGATATTGGCTCCTTCAGATGAGTGCCTACTCCAGTCACTACTTATATCCAGTAGCCAGTAGCCACTCAGATGATTTGGGATCAATCAGGTGATAAGCGTACTTTCAGACGACCAGGGGCCCCCAGTCGACCAGGGGTTCCCAGGCGACCAGGTCCTCCAGATGACTAGGGGCCCCACTGCCCCAGGCGACCAGGGCCCTCCAGGCGACCAAGGGCCAATGCGATCAGGTCCCCAAAGCGATCAGGGGCCCCCAGACGATCAGGGGGCCCCCATGCGACCAGGGGGCCCCATGCGACCAGGCCCCCGGCTACCAGGGGCCCCCAGGCGACCAGGGGCCCTCTAGGCGACCAGCGGCCCTCAGGCGATCAGGGGCCCCCAGGCGACCAGGGGATCCCAGGCTACCAGGGGCCCAAGGCGACCAGGGTCCCCCAGGCGACTAGGGGCGACCGGGGGCCCCAGGCAACCAGGGGCCCCATGCGAACAGGCCCCCGGCTACCAGGGGCCCCCTGGGCGACTAGGTACCCCCAGGCGATCAGGGGCCTCAATATCATGCAACCAGAGGCCCCCATGCGACTAGGGCCCCCTAGGCGACTAGGGGCCAATGTGAAAAATGAGAAAAACGTGAAAAATGAGGATGATTCATAACTAGGTTCATTCGCGATGGCATTGTTGGTTGACATTTTTTAGGTATTGACATTGCTTTAACGGAGTCTGGTAAGCTTCTCATTAAGCCTTCATAGCAAATAAATGTCATGTTTATATTATATGCTGTTTGTAAGCTGTCTTTCGCGTGCAACTTTCCTGTTTCTTCGTTAAATAGGTCAATGATGAAACGCAACCCTTTTGAATGCCAACTTTTTACGATGGATGATTTAAATTTCGTGTAGTCTGAGAACCACATGCTTTCAGAGAGGATCTGTGTTTCTTCTGGTTGGTATTGCTGACTGAAAGACGTAAATGCGTTTAATACATCTTTCCAAAAACGGTTACTAATTTTAGCCGTTATTTTTCCCAGACGCTTGCTTCCGTAACATAGGATGTCTTGAATATGTGGCAATTCCAATTTGGAAAAAGCTGCCCACGGAGCTTGCGCTTTCATTAGTCTTTTGAGCCACGTCAGCTTAATGCTTTTCATAAATGCTTCGATATCAACCATGGCTAATCCTCCATTGTGATATTTTTGAATCAACTTAGCACGTTTGACTGGGTCGCGTTTGCCTGCCCATACAAATGAGTACAACAATGTGTTAAGGCGTTTCAGTTCATTCTGTGAGGGATTCGGCAGAGCTGTGAACAAATGTACTAGTTGTGAGATGAGTAATGACTTAACCACGGCTATTCGTCCTAGAACCGTCAAATTCCTTCTGCGCCACTGTGCTATTTCTTTTTGAATTTGTAAAAGTTTAGGCTCAAAGTTAATTTTTGTTACATTCTTGTTCATATTGTTAAAGATAATGCCTAGTATTTTCATTTCCTTAACCCACTTAATACCAAAATCATTTTCCTCTTCACTAGACGGGGAAAAACCGACCGGAAGACATGTCGACTTTTCAATGTTTAAATTTAGTCCAGAGGCCTCTGAAAATTTTCCTAATTCTTTAAGAGCTCCTTTCAGGCAATTTTTGTTTTCTAAGAACAGCAGTGTATCATCGGCGTATTGCGATATCCTAACGTCTAAATTGTCAATGGCTTTTATACCTTTAAATTCCTTGGCTTCTTTTATTTTCGTTGCCAATATGTTGACTGCAAGGTTAAATAAATAGCCTGATGCTGGGTCACCCTGTCGTATCCCACAGTTCAACTTAATTTTTTCTCCTAGGTAACCATTTAACAAAATTCGCGAAAAATTTTGGTTGTTTAGATATACCAGCTCGATTGTTTTACGGAAGACCGGACCAAAGTTATACTTTTCCAACGTTCTGGCCAAGAAGCACCAGGATAATGAATCAAAGGCTGCCTCAAAATCGACAGACATAACCAGTATAACGCCTTTTGGGGCGACTAACGGAGCGAGCGAGAGGGTGGGCCTTGCACGTGCGAAATTGCGAGGGGGTACCTCCAACTGACTTGTGCACGGCACCCTACTAACCGGTCTCTAGCGATGTGCCAAATTTGGGCACAATCGGCCCAGCCGTTCTCGAGATCTGGAAGCGGCACCCTGCACGTGCGCACGTGCAAAATGGGTCCCAACTGACTTGTGCACGGCACCCTACTAACCGGTCCCTAACTGTGTACCAAATTTGAGCGCAATCGGTCGAGCCGTTCTCGAGATCTGGAAACGACCCCTGCACGTGCGCACGTGCAGCAGCACCCCAACTCTGGCACATGGATATGCAGTGCCTAGTGGGTGCCTACCTACATGCCAACTTTCAGCGCAATCGGCCAAGTAGTTACCGAGATATTGCAACAATTACCAAACTGACACCTCTTCGTTTTGCACGTGGCACGTGCATAAGGGGTCACCCACATGCATCGGGAATAGTCCAATACTTGGTAGAAGGAATGAAGCTACCCTACAAAATTTACCGCATGTAAATCGGTCAAGTGGTTGCTGAGATATAAGCCTCGCAAAAGCGTGACCACGGCCGGCCGGCCGGCCGGCCGGCCGGCCGGCCGCTCATACTCAGAAATTTCCGTTAATCTAAGGAAAGACTACGCTCGCTTCGCTCGCTCCGTAATCAGTCCTGAACTTTGGTTTTGTATCAAATTACTTATTGTATCGTACACAAGACGCGTGTTCTCACCAATATACCGGCCTTTAATATATGCTGTCTGGCATGGGTCTATTAGTTTATCAATAACATTTTGAAGTCTGGATGATATAGCGGCTGATATTATTTTGAAATCTACATTTAGCAAAGTTATTGGTCGCCAACCTTTTATGCTATCGAGTGATTTTCCTGCTTTTGGGATCATGGTTATTATACCCTCTCGGTGTGTTAGAAGCATCTTTCCATGTTCAAATGATGAGGTAAATGCTCTATGAAGGAAAGGTCCCAATTTCTCCCAAAAACGTCTGAAAAAACATGCGGTATATCCGTTAGATCCTGGAGATTTCCCTTTTTTCATTTTCTGCACCGCAGTCGTTAGTTCTTCGAATGTTATAGGCTCGTCTAGGACAGAACGTTCATGCGTTGTTAAAGAACTTGTGGTGTTAGACTTGATGTAGTCTTCTGTTGAGGATGACATGATATGACCCTTATTATATTTACTAGCTAGGTGTTTTGTAAATTCACCAAGGATTAAGGAACTTTTAGCGACCTTCTGTCCGTTAATATTAAGGGCTGTTGGCGTCTTTTTAATAGCATTCTTTTTTCGAGGCCGAGAAAGTATTTAGAAGATTTTTCTCCCTCCTCGTACCATTTAGCTCTTGACCGAACAATAAGACCGTTGATGATTGGCTTTCTGTGTTCTTCAAGCTGTTCTTTATATAAATTTACTGTAGCAACATTTTCCTCTGATCTTTCTACTACTAACCGATCAGGGGGCCCCATGCGACCAGGGGGCCCCATGCGACCAGGCCCCCGGCTACCAGGGGCCCCCAGGCGACCAGGGGCCCTCTAGGCGACCAGCGGCCCTCAGGCGATCAGGGGCCCCCAGGCGACCAGGGGATCCCAGGCTACCAGGGGCCCAAGGCGACCAGGGTCCCCCAGGCGACTAGGGGCGACCGGGGGCCCCAGGCAACCAGGGGCCCCATGCGAACAGGCCCCCGGCTACCAGGGGCCCCCTGGGCGACTAGGTACCCCCAGGCGATCAGGGGCCTCAATATCATGCAACCAGAGGCCCCCCATGCGACTAGGGCCCCATAGGCGACTAGGGGCCACAGACTATCAGGGGCCCATACGACCAGGCCCCCGGCTATCAGGGCCCCCTAGGCAACTAGGGGCTCCCAGTCGATCAGGGGCCTCATGCGACCAGAGGCCCCCCATGCGACCAGGGCCCCCTAGGCGACTAGGGGCCACAGGCTATCAGGGGCCCCCATGAGACCAGGCCCCCGGCTACCAGAGGCCCCCTAGGCGACCAGGGGTCCAGGAAACTGGGGGCCCTTGGATGACTGCAGGGGCCCCTCGGGTACCCAGGGCACATAAATGAAACTTTAATATCAATTTTTCTTCCGAGTAAAAGACGTTTTATCCAGTGTTTAAAAAATATCCTGGGGCCTGAGGGGCCCCCTGAGCGCCGAAGGCGCTCAGGGGGGGGCCTTGGCCCCCGTGCCCCCCCCCCTTGGGTACGTCACTGCCTGCCTTAGACGAAAGCTATCAAATGAACCCGTCGGTGACTCGACTAATTCCTCAGAGCAAGAGTCATCTGGCAAAGTCAGGTCACCGCTGAGTTGAGAGCCGATACCAGAGGCACTTATACAGCCAGCATTCCCGCTTCCAACATAAGAAAAGAAACTGCAAACAGATATGGCGAAAAATATATGTCCGGATAATGTCGTTACACCCTAAATAGTAAATACTGTTGCGTGACATTGACTTTGGGGCGGCCTTGGACCGTAACTTTGCTCACAAATAGGGGACTGATAAGCTTTAAGCTACTTCAAAACATTTGCAAGGACTGCTTTGCAGTCGTCGAAACTTGTACGGACATTCCGTACAAGTTTTTGGGCCTTCCAAAACTTGTACGGACACTGTCCGTAGTGTCCGTAGTGGTGGCGACGCTACAGATGCTCATGGCAAATTGAGCTCTTATTAGGCCAAATATATTAGTTTGTTGGGGGACTTAGAAAAGTTCAAATGAACTATACTTCTACTGCACATTGTTCAATGCACATAGATGCTCATTCATGTTTGTCTCCTTGGCCTACCATTTCAGAAATAAAAAAGTACCTAGTCCATCAGCAATGGTCATGCATTATGTACTTGTGGGCATGAAATAATCCATGTCTGCTCCTATTGTATAGCAACTGCTTTGACATCAATCACCATTTTCCAGGTTAGCACAAGCTTGCCTGAGATGTACCTAAAGAGAAAGTCAAAAGTGTGAACAAAAGAGAAGATATCAAGACTTGATATGTTTGGGATGCAAGCTCAGCTCCTTGCAACTTTTTGTGGTTTACTTTCAGTAGTAGTTTATTATGCTTATTGGAATTTCAATCCTACCAGGACTGTTAATAGAAAAGATGCTTCTAATTTTGTTGACCTTCTGGGAGGTCAACTAAAAGCAGACTTTGGCATATTTGCACTTGTGCCATGTGAGCTCAATAATACAACTGCTTTTAAATCCAGTGATTGCTCTTGTGCCAATGAACAGTTGGCTGGGAACTGTGTATGCAAGACTGTCTGCATTCTCTGGAAGGAGATCCCTGATTCACTGGCCTTGGTAAGTGTTTATGTTTGCTGATTGTTGCCATTTAAACCATGGCATGCTGGCTTCCCTGGATTTCCACTCGGGGAGGAAGGGAGCGATTAGCGAACACGAACACCCCACTTCAACTCGACTCCTGGGCCACCTAGTCACACGCGATAGGTGCCAGGTGGCGTTCAAGAGTGCTTCAAAAAGCATGATACAATTACTCCGGTCTTTTTTAGATCGGGCTTAACCCTCGCCGGTACAGGCCATTTTGCGTCCTTCGACGGCACAAGGGGGGGGGGGGGGGTACGACTCCCATCGTGTTTTGCCCCTGATCGAGCTAGAGCTTCGCGGAAAAAACGAGCGTGTTGCCCGTCACGAGGGGAAGCCGATGATATCCAATTTTAAGGTCCTAGGTCATTGGGAGACCTTCCAGGTCAGGTCAATGACCCGAAAATCGGGAAAATGGGGACATGTTAGAAAGTCGTAAAGTGTGACTGCTATGGGGTTTTCCGGGGTGCTGATTAGGAATATCGTGTTAGTTTTGATCAGAGATGATGTCTTTAAGCATTTAGACCAGGTCGGGTCGGGTCGGTCAGGTCAACCGGTAGGGGTCGTGACGGGTACCTGTTCGTACATAATACGTGTCAACCGCCTCCGACAGCTTCGTAACATGTTACGAAGGCACCAAAACTACTTCGGAAATGTTCAAATGGTTGCTAAATTCGAAATCAGCTCCAAAAACTAGCCTAGAAACATGTAAAACTCGAAAAAGTGAATCGAGGTCACCAAAGGCCAATGACCTGACCTGACCTTCAGGTGACCTTGACATTCACCCTAAGGCCTAATGCATGGGAGCAACATCAAATCACATGTTTGAACGTTTGAAACCACGAAAAGCTTGCAAACGCGTGGCTTATTTGTTTGTTTGTTTGTTTATTTAATAATCACCAACGGGCTTCAGCACCCAATGACAGGTGAAGTCGGACAGTAAAATTATAAAAACATACACGAACACACGACACTGACACACCGGACACCCCGACACTCACATGCACGTAAATCCTACCATTCGGAGGAGCTATGTACATAGCGAGCCGACATACGCCAAATCGCTATTCCGGCCAATTATGGTCTCGGAAAGTAGGTGACAGGTCAAAGGTCATTTGGGTCAGGGTCATGAAATTTTCAGGGTACGTGTAAAATTGATCAATGCGAGGGTACTGAAAGTTTCGTCGCGATTGGCCGCTTTTTACGCGAGCTATTCACGAAAAACCTTAGGGGGGGGGGGGTGCATCAACTTAACCCCCTGTGCCGGCGAGGGTTAAGGTTACGTCACCAGAAGTCATCAAATGTCAAATTCCGCCTAGCATATACTACAACTTTTGAACAATCGGTGCATAACTCGGGAACAAAAAGGCTAAATTGCCGCGGGGAAGCGCATTTGATAGAGCTCTCCTAACGCTCTTACCGAGAAAGTTCTCGAAGTTCACTTAACATCAACGGTTTAGCCTACAGAAGGCAACAACTGTCAAAATTGACCTTTTTTGCGGGAACCTTTCATGCAGTAACTTGATTCCAAGCATGCCTACACTTTTTTATATAGCGTTCCTCTTGTCGAGACATGTCGAATGGGCTATAATTTGGCCTGAAAAGATCCACCAACAAATTGGATCCGTGACCAAGGTCATGACTGGCCAGAAAAGATCACATTACCTACATACAGGTAGATTCACCTCGTTGATCTGGACACATTCTGGATTTTTCATCTGTCTAGCATGTCTATCAAAAGTAAATGTTAAAACCCATTGAGAACCTTTCATGACCTGAGATGACCTCAGGGGTACATACTACATATACGGGTCACGTGTGCAATTTTCCGATTTATTGTGCTATGTTTACTGGCTACTCGTTTGAGAGCGTTTAGTATGGTCCACTTCCAAAAAATCGCAGCTCAATTTTCTCCCATTGGCTTATACTGGTGGGTTTGCAGTGCCCCTAGCTGCTTATTAGGGATTTGATAATTATAACTAGTTACTTATCAGTTTTAGTGTGTTCAGAAACTCATGTCATTCACATCTTTTCTGTTTCCAGAAATCTGTTGTCAAATCGATTTCAAAGGACGTGAAGTATTCGACGTCAAATAAGTCTGTAGCAGCTGAAACAATAACTCATTTTTTCATAACTCTGCAACCTGAAGGAGTGCTGCATTTTGCCAACTGGTTTCTGCAAGAAGATGGGTCCTGGTGGTTTGATCAGCTACCTCATAACATTCTGCCATTTACCGAATCCAATGATGGATTTTTCGTCGGCAAATACCAGGGATGGATGCCCAGGTAAGTGCCTTATAAGGCTAAACACATTACACATGTGATCGATGAGTGTTGAGGTGTAGTTCTGTGGTGGGCTTTGTCCTGGGTGCACGATATGCATATTTTGTTACGCGACATTATGGATGCACCTTGCGCTTTAGCTACACTAAAAAGCAACATCGTTCGGTCCACCGGCATGTCTTCAGACCAAAAGCTGACCAAACAGTAGTGGATTGCGACACGTTTCCCTCGGTTTTATTGTTAACTATGCTAACTATTCGTCAGATCATTGGTCTTCTCACAGCATCGTCCATTAGGTATTTGATTGTTTTCTCTGCCAGTGTGCGGGCATTGTATTTTTTTCCTTACGAAACAGTAGCAAATAATGCATAATTTATTTTCATTGGTACTTCCACATATGCTTCTATATCTTTTAGTAAAAACATGAATGTTGATATCGACCTTATCGAGGATTGAACAGATACGTTATATGTCACAATCATCAGCACAGTCGCACCAGTTTTTCGTGTTTTAGTTTTACGTCAGACAGTCGTACATTACTCGCATACGAAGTGCTTGCGGTGGTGGCAGCCAATGTCGTGCCACACAATGCCTTCTCCCGGGTAGAATTCGTTGAGCACCGCCAGGCAGTTCTCACGACCCTCGCGATTGTCGGGCTGGGGGAATCCGGCGCCTCCGGTGGGTCCCCAGTTTTGGTAGCAGCCCTGGCCCCGGTTGCAGACGGGGGTGCGGGCCCCGTCGTTCCACACGAACTGTCCTCCCTCGCTGAGGCGTTGTCCGGACGTCCAGTAGAACTCGACCTTGCGTCCGCCCCTGGGCAGCCGGCGGTTGATCTCCTGCTCCTTCTGCGGCGAGGTGAGCGAGACGAGCCTCAGCCCGAGCTGGCGACACTCGCCGGCCGCCTGGTCCCACGTGTACTGGCCGCCGCTGTGACGTGGGTTCTCCCAGGACACGTACAGACCGCCGCGACCGCCCTGGGGCGGGAACGGCTGAGATGGCTGCTGGAATCGCTGCACAGGTTTGGGTCTCTGGCCGCCGAACGATGGTCCAAATCCTCCGCGCTGTCCCGCTCCCGGCTGGACCCGAACCGCCGCGACAGGACGAGCGCCGTACCCGCTGTCGTACTTGGGCGTCTGGTATCCGTTGTCGTACTTCGGCGTATCGTATCCACCGTCGTACTTGGGTGCCTGGTATCCGCTGTCGTACTTCGGCGTATCGTATCCACCGTCGTACTTGGGCGCCTGGTATGCGTTGTCGTACTTCGGCGCGCCGTAGCTCGCGCTCGGTTTCGGAGCTCCGTAGCCCTTGTTCGGTGTCGGAGGTGTGTAGCTCTTGTAGCTCGGAGCTCCGTAGGTGCTGCCCGGTCTCCGGGCTCCGTACTGGGACGACGAGTGGGAGCTGCCGTACGGTCCGGCGGCGGCCGCCAGACCGAGCAGGGCCAGGCAGAGCACGGTGGACGCTGGAGCCATGGCTGTGCAGCGGCCGACGACGGGACACTGTGCCGACCGACCGCGGTGCCGTCATTAAATACCCGGCCCCGGGTGCGGCCCATTGTTCCGGTAAGCCGTGACAGATCGAACATTGTTAATGACATATGGCGAGGTGGTCGCCCTGCAGCCGAGAGATACCGGCGCAGCGCTGCAGCAGCGCGCGGCGGTTCTAGTGCATCTTTGCGGTTCGTGAAGGTCAGATGATTTGAGCGACTGCATTTGTGCAGCTGTCCGGGCCATAGCAGTGCTTCCACACTATTTTTGAACGGTGATCAGGGACGCATTTTCTGGTCACTATTCCCAGACGCTGGTGCAGACCCAGCTTTTGCTGAAGAGATTAACGCGCTACTCTGCAGTGGTGTTTGTTTTATCTTGGCCGAGTTTGGCTATTCGATTCCTATTTCAGCTTCTGTCGCCCAGTGTCAGCAAAGCTGACACTGGGCGTGTCAGCTGGGCGTGAAAGCTAGCTGACACTGCTGACACTGGGCGTGAAAGCTAAGCTGTCAGCAAAGCTGACAGCTTAGCTTTCAAAATGCGTTTAAACAGCAGGCTGTTGTATTGTCACAGTGGTGTGGTCTGTTTACTACTCGTATTTTTGCTTCCCATGGACATTCAATAGTATGAGAATCTCTTGCTGTGTGCGATCCCTATCCCTTGACAATATTGGCCAGAAATAACAGATTGAATGGATTATTTGGGATTAAATACCACCCAGTTATCATCGTCATAGTTCATTGAATATGTGACATTCATTGTGATGTTCATATGAGGTTCATGTGAGGAGACGTGAGTTCATTGATATATTGGAATGCATGTCCGCCTCCTCTGGATCAAGATAAGGTTACAGACTTAAGGTACCCTCTGGTGACTTCACGGATTATGTGTGAATGGAACACACCGGCTGAGTATATTCAGCTTACTTAATTACTTCTTCGGCGGCAGCCTGGTTGACGAACGGGACCCGAAGCACCGCGCCCATGTCGGCTCAGCGTTCCCCATCCTACTGATGTCCGCCAGGATCCTCCTGGAGATGGTCCCACACGCCAGCTGACACGCCAGCCTTCCAATCGCTCCTGAACGGCAAGAGCGCCACGCCTATCCTCGCTCCAGTCCTCTTCCATACATCCTTTCGACATGCGTGCTTCCGTGGCTCTCGAGTTGATCGACCTCTCTGTGTCTTTGCATTAGCAGGTGTCTGACGTCAAAAACTGAGTGAATGATTCGCCTTGTCCTTCCGCTTGCGCGCGCTGCCAGACGATCCGCCGTTTCGTTCAGGCCAATGCCGGCGTGGCCGGGGCGGTAAACCCAGACCGTCTCGACCCCAGCCGTGTCCCACCACTCAGGGGGAGACCAGCCGGCTTCCAGTCTACTCAGTAACGACTGTGAGTCGGTAGCGATGACTAACAGGTCCACGTCGCGTAGGCACTCCTGGGACTCGGTCAAACCGAGAGTCACAGCCTTGTTCGGCACGAATGCTTGAGAGGACGAGTCCGCAGGCACCGGATGAGCATCGAGTGCGCTCATCAGAGCGCAGGAAGGATCCCCAGCCTGTCCGGGCCGGTTCGCTGGTCACAGAGCCATCGGTAGCCAGAATTAGCGGTGTCTGATGCTGATCGACGAGCGATTCCAACAGAGATTCGAATTCTGTTTCGCCACACCTGGAGCCCGGTGTGGTAGTTTTTTTTTAATTTGACCCTACGTTCCAAAACTTGAGAGCCAGTTATGTGTAGTTGTTTAGGTCACTCGGGGCTAGTCCAGGCGAGGTCGTCAGAGACGGGACGATGTCATGTCAGTGACGTGATAGGACCATGTCACTGACCCTTTCTCTTATTTTATTACAGAACACAATCAGCTAATCGTACCCGCCGAAGCGCGGCAGGCTTAACCTTGCCAACTTTCAGACCTCTTTCAACATCAGCATTAGGCTGTGGGCAACAGGTCAAAAATGTGCACCTATTTCACATAATCGTGCTGAATGTTAATAGAAAAACGGGCCAGTTAAACCTTCATTCAGTTACTTACATATTTATCACATGAGAGCTATTTTCATCGCGTGAAGTTTTTCCGATTTTCCCAGAATCGGCCGATTTCCCGATATTAGCGTTTGAATTGCCATAGACTTCGATGTTGACCTAGGATCAACTAAGCCGTAGCAATTTACGAGGCGTCGTCGAGAGGATTTTGTTGACCTTTTTAGTGAAATTCCACGATGCTCTTTGAAAGGGTAGTGTTCCAAAAAAAGGTTAGAAAAGAGAATGAAGTCAGTTATCTATAGGATCTGATATGTTTTAGTGTACTCTATTTATTAAGCTGTCTAAAATGTAATTTGCCGAGTAATTTGAAGTAGCAATGTGCTATTTTTTAGCATTCAAGTATAGATATGTTAGTCATGTCAATAGTATCTTTTGGTAGACCGTCCGCAGTCCAGTCTGGTCGAGCCTCTTAGGCTGGCCAACCATACTGCCGCGGTAATAACCAATAGCTGCACTGACGTCACCTCACACCAAAACACCCTGTTCATATGACATTTGCCGAGCTGTGGCACTCGAAGGATCGTTGTGGTGCCGGTCACACTGGTCGTGTCACATTCTGCTCCCACGGAGGTCACCTAAGGGCGGTGACCGACGCCGAGGGGGGCACTGGAGGTCAGACAAGCTGAACTGCTGGTCTACAGTTCCTTGTGCGGTGAATTTCGGCATGTCGAGGAGGAGAGTGACCTTTAGGGATTTGTTGATTTGGGCTGCAAGACATGTCCACTGGTTAGTGGCTAGTCACGGCAGAAACGGTTCATCATAGTGTCATGTTATTGTTTTGATTACGATTATTTCGATTTCATGATTCGTGATTAGTACTCACTTGTCTAAAGGGGCTTGCATCTTCCAATCCGGTAGGTACGTTTAAGAGGTGTTCCAGGGATGCTTTTCTGGGTCATTGGTTTCCTAGCTAACGGGCTCGTTGATGATGTTTACGTTATACTGATAGCGTGCAAGTCTTTGTGTCAGTTATTTGTACGCAGTCCGAGATGTTATTACATAACCGCAAATAAGGCGGACCACCAAATCTCATCTTCCTAGCTCTGCGTCCCCGGAGCTCTAGATCTCTCCAGCATTGCTAACTGGCTTGCCAGCGACGGGCCGCCCGTTGGAATTAATCCATGATTTTCTCTGATGCTCTTATCAGTCGTGCTAGGCCTTGTCGTGACGCGCATTAGTTAGGCGAGGTATGAGATCTCGAGCAGTCTGGTGGGCATGGCGGCCGTATTTAAAGTCCGTGCCCCCACTCGGCCGACACCAGTCCGTCCGCTGCGGTCTCAGAGCAGCCATGGCTCCGTGGTCCTCTGTGATCTGTCTCGCCCTGCTGGGGCTGGCGACGGCCTCCGGCCCGCAGAACGGCTCACCGCCCTCTTCCAGCTACCAGGTTCCGAAGCTGAGCAGCAGCTACGGCGTGCCGACGGTTAGCAGGAGATATGGCACCCCGCAGTACAAAAAGTACGGCAGCGGAGGCTCGCGGCCCGTCGTTCCTCAGCCCCGACCTCGGCCGGTGGTGAACCCCGGTGCCGGCAGACCCATCGGTCGGCCCCAGAAGCCAGTTCAGCGACCTGTGGGAGGCATTGCTCAATCTGCAGGCCTGCAGTCGTCGCGTCCACTCAAGCCCATCCAGCCCATCCAGCCCATCCAGCCTATCCAGCCTGCCAAGCCTGTCCATGTCCAGCCGGCGAGACCCGTCCAGCCTGTCCAGCCCGCCAAGCCTATCCATGTCCAGCCGGCGAGACCTGTCCAGCCTGTCCAGCCTGCCAAGCCTATCCATGTCCAGCCCGCGAGACCCGTCCAGCCTGTCCAGCCCGCCAAGCCTATCCATGTTCAGCCCGCGAGACCCGTCCAGCCTGCAAAACCTATCCATGTCCAGCCCGCGAGACCCGTGCCGATTCAGCCCGCGAGACCTGTCCCGGTGCAGAAGCCTGTTCAGGTTCAGCCCGCCAGGCCCGTCGCGGTCCAGCCTGCGGTTCAGCCCGTCCAGCAGGTGCAGCCCGCCCAGGGCGGTCGTCTGTACGTGTCCTGGGAGAACCCGCGTCACAGCGGCGGCCAGTACACGTGGGACCAGGCGGCCGGCGAGTGTCGCCAGCTCGGACTGAGGCTCGTCTCGCTCACCTCGCCGCAGAAGGAGCAGGAGATCAACCGCCGGCTGCCCAGGGGCGGACGCAAGGTCGAGTTCTACTGGACGTCCGGACAGCGCCTCAGCGAGGGAGGACAGTTCGTGTGGAATGACGGGGCCCGCACCCCCGTCTGCAACCGGGGCCAGGGCTGCTACCAAAACTGGGGACCCACCGGAGGCGCCGGCCGGCCCCAGCCCGACAACCGCGAGGGTCGTGAGAACTGCCTGGCGATCCTCAACGAATTCTACCCGGGAGAAGGCATCGTCTGGCACGACATTGGCTGCCACCACCGCAAGCACTTTGTCTGCGAGTAATCTGCTCCATGTGATCTCCATAGTGTTCAGGCCGGGGATTTTCTCGGCCTGGCTGCTCCGGAGCCTTTGTCAATGCTTTTCGCAAACTTTCTTCAAGTCTGCTTTGCAATTTCTCTCGATTGTTTATGATGATTTCATGCCTGAATATTTCTTTTCGGTGTAAGTTACAATGTGTTATCGCCTGATAACTCTCCAGCATGTAAGAATATATGGTGAAATTATTGGAGACCTTGTTGGGTTGTTCGGCGCCAAAAAAAAGCAACTTTTAACACCTTACGCGACGGGCTGGTTGATTTGTTACGTCTTTTTGAATAAGCCGAGGACTTTCCTATTGTTCTTCTCGCTGCCGTGCAACTCTAAACCAAACGACGTCTTGCCGGTATTTTTAGCTATACCTACTACAAATTCCCTCATGTCACATCTCATTAGAGCATCCTCCCCCACTCTACTAGCCGCCCTCAGACGCTTTGCATGGCCTGTTTGTGCACGAATTTTAACTTCGTAATATCTTTATTTTTTTTCACAGGCGTTCCAGGTTTCACGG